TGCCTCCACTTGACCTCTGATGCTCCAGGATCCCACCACCCTCACTGAATTTTTTTTAAAGCCCATTTTAATGTCACAATTTTCCTCTCTCATCCCTGATCTGCAGAGAAGAGTTAATACAGAGGTCTCCAAATCTGCCAATGCTCCTTTCACCAATGAATTCTCAAGTCTTTGGCAAAGAGTATCTTCAGAATCTTCCCAGAGCACAATAGGGGTTGAATAAGGTTTTACATAAATCCACTCCAGCATTCTGTATTTCTATGTCTCTGTATATGTTCTATAACACTGGTTCTCAGTTGGGGACAATTTCCAACCCCCACCCCCACCCCCGACCACTGATGTCTGGCAGTGTCTGGAAACATTTTTGCTTGACTGAGGGGTGCGTGTGTGTGTGCACGTACGCACCTAGTAGCTAGAGGCCAAGGATACTGCTAAACATCCTATAATGCATAGAACATCCCCTAAGAAATGTCAGCTGTGCCAAGATCAAGAAATTCTATAGCATACTTACAAAGTTCTGGCGTTTTTACTTTAGGGTAGGCTAACGTTTTTGCATCCGGGTTTCAAATAACTGAGAAAACCGTTGAAAGCATTCCCAGGTGCTCAAGCTAACAGTGGGTCTGGAATCACTGTTCACTGCACCCATATCAGCAAATCCAGCCTAATCCATCATATTATTTCCACCTGATTCAATACCTGTAAGATCTACAACCATATATATTTCTCAGGTTTCTATTGCTATAAATTACAAAAATCCTTATTTTAACTATATACCGCCTCATGGTCATATTTTCTACTTGATGACTCCCCCCATTGTCTGTAAGGACCTGAGTTTCATTACTGGTCTAGAAAAATGAGAGGTAGTGGAGGCAAGTCTTGAGAATCTAGTCTTTTGCAAGGAAATCATCTCAGGGAAGGTCATCACAGGCTCTTCAGGCAAGGGAGACTGACCTCAGAGAGAAGAGGAAGGGCTCCTTCTAACAGGAAGAGAGGCTCAGGTAGATTGAGCAAAGTCCTCAACTTTGTTGGAATCTGCTCCTTTGTTCCCATTCAAAATTTTCAGGATCCCATTCCTTCCCATTGGTGCCTTGCAACATGAGAGACTCTAAAAGTTGTGAATTCAATGTGTTGTTATTCAGCCACTGATTTTGGCTTTGCATCACTCTTTCTCAAAAACAAAGGAATGCTGATAATATATAACACATTCTCCAAAATGTTAATATGCAGCCAAACTAAAAGCTAAGAAAAATCTTCCGGAGGCTCAAAATAGGGAAATTGAGTCCATGGTGGCAAAGGAGAGGTGAAACTTATTTTTTTCTTGAGACAGGGTGTCGCTTTGTCACCCAGGCTGCAGTGGTGTTGAGATCATGGCTCACTGCAGCCTTGACCTCCCGGGCTCAAGTGCTCCTTCCACCTCAGCTTCCTGAGCAGCTGGGACCACACATGTGTACCTCCATGGCTAACTTAAAAAAAAATTTTTTTATAGATACAGGGTCTCACTATGTTGCCCAGGCTAGTCTTGAACTCTTGGGCTCAAGAGATCCTCCCAGTTAGGCCTCCCAAAGGGCTGGGATTGCAGGTGTGAGCCACTGCACCTGGCTGAGTTGAAACTTAATACCTCACAAAGGGGAAAAGAACAGGATATACAACTAGCAGTCTAATCTTGACTGCAGATGAGAATCAAGGCCAGAGGAGCCATAAACACTGTGAGTAGTAAACTACCAAACACTACAAATGAAACAGCACTGCTCCCTGGTTGCTAGCCCCATCTCGAACCTAACGACCCACGGTTAACCAGAAGGGCAGATATGAGAATCAAAAGAAAATCATTTTGGAATCCTGACTGAAGCAGGTCTAAGTCCTGCTCTACCTGTGGTCTTCTACATTATGCGAGACAAATCATTCTGGTTTAACATAAGGGTTGGTAAATTTTTTTCTGTAAAGGGCCATAAAGTACATATTTTAGATTTTGTGGGCCATAGTTTTGGTCACAACTATTAAATTCTGACACTGCAGCAAGAAAGCATAGATAATACATTAAAATATAGGCATTGCTGTATTCTAATAAACCTTTAAGGCAGTGAGCTAGATTCAGCCCACAGGAGGTAGTTTTTCCAGCCCTGGCTTAATCCACTAAACTGCAAATTACTTTGAGAGTTGGTGAGCTATCCTGATATCTAAGAGCAAGCTAAACATCGAAGACCCAGGATTTCTGACATTTAACACGGTTTGAGGTACCATGGACTTTACCTACTTAGCATGTGAAGGTGTAGACAGAAACAACAGGAATTGTAACCCAAATAGAGAAAATTGTGGAAATCTCACAGAAATCTCTGACCTCAGAGGTCCTATCATTTGCTGAGTAAAGCCTTTAACCAAATAAGCTTTAAATGTCACAGAAATGCCTAAGAAACAACTATTATTCAATCCTGCTTAACTGCCTGTTCCCACGGTTTTTCACTGGCATCATGCTGTTCTCTCCCTATGTATATCTTTTCCTCAGGGAATCTTTATTAAATTTTACCTCAAAAAGTATGTATTTCCACTCTGTATCTTCAGAATTTGCCCTCATCTTGTCACCCAGTCTGGAATGGAGTGGCACGAGCTCAGCTCAATGCAACCTCCACTTTCTGGGTTCATGATTCTTCTACCTCAGCCTCCCAAGTAGATGGAATCACAGGCACCCATCACCTTGCTGGGCTAGTTTTTGTAATTTTTAAAAATAGAGATGGGGTTTCACCATTTTGGCCAGACTGGTCTCGAACTCCTGACCTCAGGTGGTAACGTCTGCCTCGGCCTCCCAAAGTGCTGGGATTACAGGCACAAGCAACCGCACCTGGCCTCTTTGTAAATTTTTGTATTAATCATTTTTTCCACAGCTGCTGTACAATGTCTAGAAAGGCCCAGCCACTTCCCCCAATCAGATCAAGCACTTGAAAAGACAAGCCAGTGCCCTAGGTTATCCATCCATACAGCCAGTGAGTAAATCTGTCAAGATCTAAGAAGCATTCCTACAACTGGAATTACATTAAAACCATATTAACTGCATGGATTTGTACCTAAAAAGCTTTACATGCATTCACTGCAAATATATATTCACACTCACCAAATGCATCTGTAACTTTGAACAAGTTTTTATAACTGATTTCCAGATTTCATTTTAGCCTCATATTCTATATGATGACACAAGATTTCTTAACCGTAAGGGATTATTATGTTCTAGTAATTTTTCAAATTATTTTTCACTATGTTATTGTAAAATAACAGTATTTTACTATAAAATTGATGCTCATGGCCGGGCGCGGTGGCTCAAGCCTGTAATCCCAGCACTTTGGGAGGCCGAGGTGGGTGGATCACAAGGTCAAGAGATTGAGACCATCCTGGTCAACATGGTGAAACCCCGTCTCTACTAAAACTACAAAAAATTAGCTGGGCATGGTGGCGTGCGCCTGTAGTCCCAGCTACTCGGGAGACTGAGGCAGGAGAATTGCCTGAACCCAGGAGGCGGAGGTTGCGCTGAGCCGAGATCGCGCCATTGCACTCCAGCCTGGGTAACAAGAGCAAAACTCCGTCTCAAAAAAAAAAAAAAAATTGATGCTCAGTGAAAAAATTAAAATATAAAACTTAAATGTGAAAAAAAATCCCTGCGTTCTCCTTGCTGCTGTGGTGGCATAGGATAAACTACCAAACATGATTGGTTCACACTCACATGGACACACACGAGTTTAAGGTATGTGATGTTCTAAGACTGAATCTCACTCTGTCGCCCAGGCTAGAGTGCAGTGGCGCCATCTCGGCTCACTGCAACCTCTGCTTTTCCAGTTCAAGCGATTCTCTTGCCTCAGAAGCCGGAGTAGCTGAGATTACAGGTGTGCACCACCACACCTGGCTATTTTTTGTATTTTTAGTAGAGACAGGATTTCACCATGTTGGCCAGGCTGGTCTCAAACTCCCGACCTTAAGTGATTCACCCACTTCAGCCTTTCAAAGTGCTGGCATCACAGGTGTGAGCCACTGCACCCAGCCTGTGATGTTTTCTTTTTTTAACAATGGAGCTTGGCCGGGCGCATTGGCTCACGCTTGTAATCCCAGCACTTTGGGAGGCCAAGGCGGGTGGATCACAAGGTCAAGAGATCGAGACCATCCTGGTCAACATGGTGAAACCCCGTCTCTACCTAAAAATACAAAAATTAGCCGGGCATGGTGGCGTGCGCCTGTAGTCCCAGCTACTCAGGAGGCTGAGGAAGAATTGCTTGAACCCGGGAGCTGGAGGTTGCGGTGAGCAGAGATCACGCCACTGCACTCCAGCCTGGGTAACAAGAGTGAAACTCCGTCTCAAAAAAAAAAAAAAAGAAAGAAAAAAAAAAAAACAGGCGCTCCCAGCACAGTGATATTCTTAAACTGTTATACTCTTGTCATAAAATTTGCCCATCATTTTCAAGGATCCTTTTTACTGTAGCATATAAAAATTATTTCTATTTTTACAAAATTCAGCAACACTGATGTGCCACTCACCTTTTCTATTTGAATCTCCTAATCAAAAATTCCCATTCTATGAATTCCAGAAAAAAAAAAAAAAAAAAGAGATGCACATTCTATATTCTGATACATATTAACTTCTCTTCCAAAAGCATTTTTTCACTGTCACCATTAGGGAAAAGTGTGAAAGCCAGCCATGATCCAAAAATCGATTTTTGATGAACTTTATCAATTTTAGCAACTTTTTTGTCCTTTATCTCAGAATACGGGGGAGAGAAGTTGACAAAAGAAATCTGCAATAGCCTCAAACTAAGTTCTGACGAAAGTAATGCTACAGCCTTTAGAAGGCAATCATGTTGAAGCCTGAATGAAAATGTGAATATAAAAACCAATGACCAATTCAACATCTACTAAAAAATGTTTGTCATTAGCAACCGACACTTAAACCCTTACTTTAAGTGTTGAAAAAATAAGTGTAGTATGTAGTGTCCACTTATTACAAAATGAACAAAATTGTTACAAAAGATAATTGAATCTATATTGTATAAACCAGTAGAAAACTAGACAAGGTCTGGGAAGATAGGACCCAACTTTAGAGGCTAGGTGAGGACAGGATCTAATCACAAGATAATGCCAAATTAACAGAATTCAGTATTGAGTGGTTTTCTACATTTCAATTCTGTCTCCCTGAATTAATCTTATTAAGGCTACCTTCAGGTTTCCTGTTTACAAATTTATGATATTCTGGAGGTGATCTCAACATAACTTTCAAAAATGTTTCTTATTAACAAATATTGAGAACCCGTGAAGTACACAGCAACGCTAAGATTATGTAGACTCTGTAGTGAACAAGTCTCTGCCTTTATGGAGTTAACATTGTAGTAGACACTTAATTTTGGCATGTCCACTGTGGTATTTTTGTAAAAGGCCTGAGAAATATCTTAGTCTATCACCCCCTCTTCTAAGTACCATTTTATAAAGGTCGAGGTTTTGACCAAAGAAGTCCTTGCTATGCTAATTATAAAGACTGTTTTATTGGACCACTGGGACATGAGGAGCTATGGCTGAAACACTGACTTCAAATATAATTTTTTGAGACTTCACAGTTGGAAGAATTCAAATGACACAAGTCTTCAAAAATAATCATTTTATAGAATTTTTTCCTGTGTGGATTCTCTGATATTCTTACCACCTCTGTTATTTTTATAGGATTTATCACCAACATGGATTCTGTGATGAATTGTAAGATTTGATCTCCAACTGAAGCTCTTACCACATATGTCACATTTATAAGGTTTCTCCCCAGTGTGAACTCTCTGATGAGATTGTAATTGTGAAGACCGACTGAAGACTTTACCACACACATCACATTTGTATGGTTTCTCTCCTGTGTGGACACTCTGATGAAGCTGAAGACTTGAGGCCTGACTGAAGTACTTACCACACTCCCCACATTTATATGGTTTTTCTCCTGTGTGCACCCTCTGATGCATGTCAAGATTCAAGCTCCACTTGAAGCCCTTCCCACACTCATCACATTTGTATGGTTTTTCTCCATTGTGGACTTTTTGATGGGCTTGAAGATGTGCACTCCGACCAAAACTCTTCCCACATTCTTCACATTTGAATGGTTTTTCTCCACTATGAACTCTCTGATGGGCCAAAAGATTTGAAGCCTGTCTGAAGACCTTCCCACACTCCTCACAGTTATATGGTTTCTCTCCTGTGTGTATCCTACAATGAATTTTAAGATCTGCTCTACGACTGAATCCCTTGCCACATTCTTCACATTTGTATGGTTTCTCACCCGTATGGATCAGCTGGTGAATTTGAAGTCGTGAGCTCTGATTGAAACCCTGCCCACACTCCTCACACTTAAAAGGTTTCTCTACACTGTGGGCCTTCTGATGGATTTGAAGATATGAACTTTGACTGAAGCCCTTCCCACATATCTCACATTTATAGGGTTTCTCTCCTGTGTGAACCACTAGATGAACTTGATAATGGGAGTTTCTCCTGAAGCTCTTTCCACACTCCTCACATTTGTATGGCTTCTCTCCAGTGTGGACTCTCTGATGGGCTTGAAGGTTTGAACTCAGAGTAAAGCCTTTCCCACATACAGTACATATGTAAGACTTCTCTCCAGTGTGGACTCCCTGATGGGCCTGAAGACTTGAAGGCCGACTAAAGCCTTTACCACATTCCTCACATTTATAGGGTTTTTCTCCTGTGTGGACTCTCTGATGAATGTAAAGATTTGAGCTACAAATGAACCCCTTCCCACACTCCTCACATTTGTATGGTTTCTCTCCTGTATGAACTCTTTGATGGGACTGAAGATGTGAATTCCGACTGAAGCTCTTACCACATGCATCACATTTGAATGGTTTCTCCCCAGTGTGGAGTCTCTGATGGTCCTGAAGATGAGAAGCCTGACTGAAGGCCCTCCCACACTCCTCACAACTGTAAGGTTTCTCTCCTGTGTGGATCTTACAATGAACATTAAGCGCTGATCTACGACTGAAGCCTTTCCCACATTGCTTACATTTGTATGGTTTCTCTATCAGGTGGACTTTCTGATGGGTCTGTAGATTTGAGCCTTGACTGAATTCCTTACCACACTCATCACACTTAAGTTTTTCTCCCACATGTACTTTCTGATGAACAGGAAGAACTGAGCTGTAACAGAAGCCTTTTCCATGCTCAACACATGTAAGAGACTTCTCTCCTGATTGTAACTGCTGATGAAGATCAAAGCTGGAGAGATCACTGAAGGGTTTTTTACACTCATTACACTGGTAAGGTTTCTGTCCTGTGTGAATCATGCTATTCTGATCAAATGTCAAAATCTTCATGTTGTCTTTTTTGTGATCACTGGGTCTATAAGATTTTTCACTTTCGTGTACTCTATGACCATCATGATGTGAAATCCAATTGATGGGGTCAACACCCTCTTTAGGTTGACATAGTTTATTTTTTAAGGAAATCTGCCGATCTCTGTTCGATCTCTGTGACTCAGTCAGGAACATTTTCCTCCAAGAATCCTGGGTTCTCAAAGTAGGAAACTCCGGATTCACAGTATCACTGGGGTCATCTGCTTTATTTACTATACAGTTCTCATCTTCAGAAATTTGAATAGACAGTCCTGCCCCTACCTGGCAAGGGAAATCACCTTGTTTGTGAGACTGAGAATTGTTGATCATGAAGTCTTGACACCTGGTTAAGTCACTTGCAATTTGTTGCCAGATTTGCCAGCAAGAAAGCTCTTCTTCTGACTCTCTGTCTTGAACAGTCATTAACATACTTTGATTATTCTCTCCTGTAAGGTCAAAGAGTTCAGAGATAAACTGAATTTTTCATTCAAAGATTTAAGATTTCACACTGAGGACACAGTAAAAGATTTTAATGAGCCTCAGGATAGTTCTGCTTATCTTTTTCAACACATTTGAAGTTTCTGGTTTACATCCTGACAGAAACCAAGAGATGGTCCACCAAGTTCCCTACTGCTAAGCACTAATGAAACCCATTTAAAAACACAACTACTGACATGCTGTCTAAATATATATTTTTTAATTCCATGTCTTTCCTACTATAATGTGGTATCAGTAAGAAAAAACATTTTGTAGTGCTCAGAGTTTACAACCCCAACCCAGAAGTTACTGACTGGCAGTTATTAACAGTCACTTAAGGAATGCATGCATATATGAATCCCTGTTTGATTTCTGACATTTCTTCTAACTCCAAATCCAAGTTTAAGTTTGAGCCAGGTCATAGAACAAAACAACTTTTACAAGTAAAGTATCTGAAATATAAAAAGCACTGGAAAGTACAGTTTTGCTGCAAAGTCGAAAAGCTGTACCTGAGGTAGGCGTACACCAAGTAAGTTATTGCTGAAGAGAAAAATCAGAAGTGATAATCACTTGGGGCAAAAGAAAAGCATGAAGACCTATGCACTGGATCCTCCTAAGGATTTTGCACTATTTAAGAGTCAAAATTGGAAGGCTAGCAAAGAATGCTGTCTCTTTGAAAGCAAGGTATGGAAAGTTTCTGTAGATACATTTGCCTTTAACAAGAATGTTTTCCAAATTGACAAAAAGGTCTATTAGTCAACTGTGAAATAAATTTGATAGCTTGCGCTATTTAGAAAAACAGATGAAGTATCAGAATAATCACAAGCAGTAATGGTATCACTACATAAAATGCCTTCTAACGTCATACATACACCTGAACAACATAATGTTTGAGAGAGAACACTGTAAGATCTATTTATTTTTATAAATGAGGACTTTGGAAGAAGCAAATGGGATGCCACTGGGCAAACTTTTTAAGGGAAAGGCTAATGCTCATGAGTTAGCTTTTATTTTTACTTTTTCTTTTCTGATATAATGGATAAGGAAATAGAAGTTTATTCCCTTCTATGAGTAAATACCTAAGAAAACAGAAATATAACTCCTTATTTTAAAATACTCCATCCCGAAATGAATATGCTCTGCTACAAATGCTCAAAGAAAGTCATAAGGAAAGCATGTTACTCAGTTTGGTTACAACTATGATACTATAGGCTTCCTAAGATATGGGCCAACTTTTATAGACAGGCAAACACATGCCAACACACACACACACACACACACACACACACACACACACACACACACAAATTAGAATGAGGTTAGGAATTCATTGGAAGACAGAAAATATTTTGCAATATCCCTTATTTATTCTGATTTGTTAACCTCCTATTATTTCCACGGAAGACAGATTTCCATATCCATTAACTCATTTATTTATTCAACTAATATTTATAGTGTCTGCCATGCACCAGGACTATTCTAAGCACTGCGGAGACAACAACAAAGAGATAAAATTCCTTCACTCCTTGAGATTACACTCCAGCAAGAAGACATAGGTGATAAGTCACTGAACAAAAACATATATGAAGGGATGATCAGTGCAAAAAAAAAAAAAAACATATATGAGGGGATGATCGGCACACAATATACGGCAGTGCACAGAGAGTAACGGGGAAGACTGTTTTTAATAGGGTGGTGGTCAGAGGAGGGCTTTCTTATGATAAACTGAGCAAAGAACTGAAGAAGGGAACAGGAGGATTACAGATGAAAGACTATTACAGGCAGAGAAAAGAACACATACAGGGTTGTGAGGCAGAAACATCTTTGATAGGTCTGAAAAGCAAGAGGGAGGAAAATGTGGCTGGAATTCACAGAAAGAGAGTACAGGAGATATATTCAGAGAGGTAGTAGAAAATGAAGAGCAGACCATGTAGGACTCTGTCAGCTATATTAAGTGGATTTTACCCTAAGTAAAGTAAGTCACAGAGAATTTTGAGCAGAACAACATAGTCTGATATAAAGTAACAAAAACTCACTTTGGCTGCCACTTAGAGAAGACTGTAAGAGGAGAGGGGTGGGAGCAGAGAAAGCAGTACAAAGGATGTTGCAATAATCCAGGAAAGAGATTTGGCAATTTGGGCCAGGTGATGGCAACAAGGCTGGGGAGAAGCAAAGCAGATGGACAGTTAACTATAATAACTCACAACTGTTTGGTTTGTACCTGAATTTCTCTGTCTTTGAGTTGCTGTCTTCATTATGCAAAGCTGCTCTTTTCTTTCTATAGGTGATACATCTCGTTTGAAGGGTTGATGCCCTGTGAAAATGCCAAATCACAAGTTGAAAATGAACACATTAGAGTTAAAATACATTGAAAATCTGAGTTGCAATTGCATATTCAAGACACGGAAAACAGTGTTTTTCAAACTTTTATTTAAATAATGACCCAGTAAAGAAACACTATTTATTTCATGACCCAGACACACATGTGTAGATACATATTATAAAAACCAAGTTTGAATAATCTATTTTTTTTTAATTTGTGAGACATAGTCTCACTCGGTCATCCAGGCTAGAGTGCAATGGCACAATCTCTGCTCACTGCAATCTCCGCCTCTCAGGTTCAAGTGATTCTCCCCCTTCAGCCTCTCCAGTAGCTGGGATTACAGGTGCCTGCCACCACACCCAGCTAATTTTTGGTATTTTTAGTAGAGATGGGTTTTCATCATGTTTTTCAGGCTGGTCTCAAACTCCTGAACTCATGATCCGCCTGCCTCGGCCTCTCAAAGTGCTGGGATTACAGGTGTGAGCCACCGAGCCTGGCCTGAATAACCTACTTTTAACTAATGTCTGTTTTCATTAAATCTCCTCCCCTCCCACTGCTTCACTTGACTAGCCTAAAAAAATAAATAAAAAATAAATCTCCTCCCATTGGTTCTCACATCACTCAAGCAATTGGCCAGAATTTTTGCTGCAGTGTGTGTCATTCTTGCTATGGAGTTCTAGTATTTTCTATCCTATATTCTTTTATAAAACTCAAATGAAAAAGACCCAAAATATTCTGTTCAGAAAAACCAGTAACATCCAGCGTCTCTGCATCCCATAAAAATTAGGAAAGTCAGATTCCCACACTCAGGGAACCATTTAAAGAGCTACAAAGCCTTAAAACTCTAAGGTCACAAAGATACTCCAGAGGGAGGCTGTCCTCACCCACTGACAGCAGGTTCCTAAAGTTCTCCACCATCACATCTCGGTATAGCTTCCTCTGGGCAGGGCCCAGTAGCCCCAACTCCTCCTCCGTGAAGGCCACAGCCACATCCTTGAAGGTCACTGCTTCCTATGACAAAAACACATGACCTCAATCTTACAACCAATGTCCACTGGAAGACAGGTAACACTAAGAAGGTGAAGAGAACAGTTGGAAAGTTGTCCTGGATTCCCAGCTGTTTGTAGACTTTCCAGCCCTTCTCCTGTCTTGCCAATGCCATACACTGACTTACCAGAAGTGCTGCTATGAAAAAGAAAACTTTGTCTATTTACTGGGTGCTCTCAATGATTACCTCCTGAACCTAAAACATTGCCAATTTCCTCAGAAATGTTTACCAGTTTAGTCCCAACCGTGTTTGATAGCACCTGCCTTCCTACTGAGGTAGGAGCCAAGTAAGCAGTGTTTTATGTGGAAATAAACCTAAAGGGCATGTCAGGTTTCTGAATGAAAGACTTTCTCTCTGTTCTCCTGTCTTGGTCTTTCACTTGAATATAATACACTGATCCCAGATCTTTAGTTTTTCATGTGAACTTGAGCAGGTTCCTCATTTTTCACAGTCCCTTTTCTATTTATGTTCAAAATGAAGACAAAACAAAGAACCTCCTCGTATAGTTGCTGTGAGGTATCAATACAGGGACAGAGTGCAAGTGCTTGGCAAATCCTTTACCACCACCAGGCATTTTAAATTAAGGTCACATACTACTTTGACTAAAAAAAAATATTCAAAGGAAAAAAAGACCAGTAAATAAAATATACACAGGGTATGACTGAGGCATGAGGAAGACAGAATCTAGCTCTTGTAGTGAAAAAGTCTAATAGTGTTTTTTCTGTGTGAAGTAGCTGTGAAATCCTGATGCACTGTGCCCTATTTGAATATTCTATCAAAAAACATCTGAAGTACCACACACAAAACATACCTTTTCAATTCTAATACCTAATGTTAAGGATTTTAAAAGGCAGTATTTTTCAAAATTGATTTTTTCAAAAAAGTTAAATGTAAGAAAACTAACACTGTAGTTCCTAAAACAGTAAAAATCCTGTATTAACTGCCTATATAGAGAGAATAGTTTAAAAACTGGATACATAAATTTGATAGAAGTATAACAAAAATAAATATATATAATTTAAGAAATGTAAAATTATGTCTACGTTATGAATGCAAATATATAATTACAAGTACATAAAATGAAGAGATTACAGAAATATAAAGGCAGCCAAGTTATAAGCAGGGAAGTAGTAATGTAAAAGATATTTTTCATTTCTATTAATTTTTCTGAGATGGAGTCTCACTCTGTTGCCCAGGGTGGAGTGCAGTGGCACAATCTTGGCTCCCTGCAACCTCCACCTTCCAAATTCAAGTGATTTTCCTGCCTCAACCAACTGAGTAGCTGGGATTACAAGCAAATGCCACCACGCCCAGCTAACTTTTGTATTATTAGCAAAGATGGGGTTTCGCCATGTTGGCCAGGCTGGTCTCAAACTCCTGACCTCAAGTGATCCTCCCTACCTCAGCCTCCCAAAGTGCTGGGATTACAGATGTGAGCCACCACGCCCAGTCATCATTTTTATTAATTTTTCTACTTTTATTTATAAAACAAAAATGATAAAACTAAAAGCAAAACCAGCTCAACTTAAATAAGACAAAATAAGCACCTAATACACTCAACAGTTCCTCAAATTCCTTGACTCTTCCTTGAAAAAGAAAAACCTGGTCCCATCTCTAAGTACTAAAATGGGATTTTTTAACAGGTGGAAAAGGCAAGCTGTACTCACCTTGAACATATTCATTTTTAATTCTTCCTTCTGGGGAAGTACAGAGTCCTAAGAAACTGAACTAGGAAAGAAGAGAGAAGTAAATGAAAACTGGGAAAGTATGTTGCTAATCCACATGGTCCTTCTTTAGGAATTAGAAAAGGTGTGTACTCCTTGGGGTGGCTGTAACTGTATGTGATTTTTAAGCAGATTATGGCATGGATCCTAGATATCCATCTACTCCTTTCAGTGGCAGTTCAGAACCTGCCCAACCACACACAGTGGCCTCACTGCCCATGTGCCTGTAATTCCACGCTAGTAATTCTTCTTCTGAGTACAGTATAAATTGAGACGATATAAGTACAGGAGGCTCTGGAATTGATATGCATGGGTTAAAATCCTGACACAGGACTCACTAGCAGTGTCACCTTGGGGAAATTATTAACATCTCTTTGTCTTATTTCTATCTTCTCCAAGTGGTAAAGAATAACAGTACCAGGCCGGTGGATCACGAGGTCAGGAGTTCAAGACCAGCTTGGCCAACATAGTGAAACCTCGTCTCTACAAAAAATACAAAAAATTAGCCGGGTGTGGTGGCAGGCGCCTATAATCCCAGCTACTCTGGGAAGCTGAGGCAAGAGAATCACTTGAACCTGGGAGGCGGAAGCTGCAGTGAGCCGAGATTGCGCCATTGCACTCCAGCCCGAGTGACAGTGAGAGCCTCCATCTAAAAAAAAAAAAGAATAACAGTACCAACTTCATCTGACTGTTGAAGGTAAAAACCTCTTACAACACAGTCAGGTATCTTATTTCTTTCCAATTGCAGTAAGTAAAAGACAGTCTATAGTTTGAAATTATCCTTAAAAATATAATTTCCACCAATAGAATATTGTAAGGTAGTTAGAATTCACAGGTTGTTGCTATGTCATATCAAAGTGTCTTATAACTTCTGAAAAACTTGTTGTCTTTCCAATAATTTCCTAACTCAACACTGAACTAATAAAACTAAGATACTGCAATTAAAAAGACAGTTTGACAGCCCATATGTAACTTAAATTGAAAAGGCAATAACCTGGCCAGGTGCAGTGGCTCACACCTGTAATCCTAGCACTTTCGGAGGCTGAGACAAGCAGATCACTTACAGTTAGGAGTTGAAGACCAACCTGGCCAACATGTTGAAACCCTGTCTCTACTAAAAAGACAAAAATTAGCTGGACATAGTGGCAGGCACCTGTAATTCCAGCTACTTGGGAAGCTGAGGCACAGGAATTACTTGAACCCAGGAGGTGGAGGTTGCAGTGAGCCGAGATCGCCCCAGCCTGGGTGACTGAGTGAGACTCTGTCTCAAAAAAAAAAAAGAAAAAAGAAAAGGCAGGAAACCAAGTCAATATTGTTTGTTTTAAATAAAGGAATGTGTAATAAATAAATGGCAAAAGAATAAGTGACAAAAGAAAGCTCCTATAGAACATATAAACTAATAAAGGTAGAATAAAAGGTAACTAGAAAATCATTAATAGATGCTAGAAACTGGGGCAAGTTTGGTGAGGAATAAGATGGCTACATAGTCTCAAAGTATTAAGTTCAAAAGGAAAAAAGTAACCTGGCAGACATTTTATCCAAAAAAACAAAGTTGAGCCGGGCGCGGTGGCTCAAGCCTGTAATCCCAGCACTTTGGGAGGCCGAGGCGGGCGGATCACGAGGTCAAGAGATCGAGACCATCCTGGTCAACACGGTGAAACCCCGTCTCTACTAAAAATACAAAAAATTAGCTGGGCATGGTGGTGCGTGCCTGTAATCCCAGCTACTCAGGAAGCTGAGGCAGGAGAATTGCCTGAACCCAGGAGGCGGAAGTTGCGGTGAGCCGAGATCGCGCCATTGCACTCCAGCCTGGGTAACAAGAGCGAAACTCCGTCCCAAAAAAAAAAAAAAAAAAAAACAAAGTTGAGACCACTAGGGGGACAAACCCACAAACCAACATTTGACTCCTCCTATGATGCACTGAGAGGGATGCCTCACCACTTTTATGGCATCTCTGCTGATAATGCATAGCCTGAATTTAATCCTGAATAAATATTAAGGAAAAAAAAGAGCATTTTACAAAATATTTTGTCAACACTCTACAAAAGATATCAAGAGCAAGAAGGAAAGTCTGAGTAATATTTACAAAATATTTTGTCAATACTCTACAAAAGATATCAAGAGCAGGAAGGAAAGTCTGAGTAATCATTCTAAAGGTGACTAATGAAATTAAAAAAAACCTAACTGTAATGCATACAATTAGACTGGAACCTCGCCTGGGGGAATAAATTACTTTCAAAGTCTTTACTCGTAAAATGGAATAAATTTAAATACAAACTGTAGATTAGGTAACAGTAAGTTATCAATGTAATTAATTTCATTTTTATCACTATTTCTAGCTTACTCTCAAATGCTTCAGCAAAAAGACAAAAACAAAATATAAGTATGATGATAAAGTTGTGAAAGCGAAAAGACCAAAAAGAAAAAACTGCTCTGACAACTAACAGCAGCAACAGCCAGAACCTGGTGTTTTCGATTTATCAACAAAAACGAGACAGGTTTACTCACTGATCAAGGTGAAAAAGAAAAAAACAAGACAGCTTCTAACACAGAGAGAAATACATTCTACAGTGACAAAAATAGCCAAATAACTGCCTCTTCCATCTAAGATGACCACTTTGTTATTGGCAACAACTCCAGTCTCATGTTATTTCCCCACCTCCCACATAAAAATTACTACAATAGTCATCAAATTGCTGCTGCTTCTTGACAGCATCCAAACCAGAACAAACCCTCTTGCCTAAAACTCTCCCCAACTCAGCTAACATAAACCAAAACCCTATAACCAGGACCCTCCTAATTGCCTCTCACCAAGACACCCCATGCCATGTGTGGGCTCCTTGGATACAGCAAGCTAAAACAAACTTAATTGTCTTTGGTTACAGGTATGTTCCTGGTGATATTTGGCTGATGGTCATTAACAGAGCAAACAGGCAAAACATAAACAACTGGTGAATATGGGTTAAGAGCCTATGAGATTTCCTTACACTACTTTTTTTTTTGCAACTTTTCTATAAGTTTGAAATTATATTACAAAAAAAAGTTGGCTGGGCCCAGTGGCTCACGCCCGTAATCCCAACAATGAGGGAGGCCGAGGCAGGTGGATCACCTGAGGTCAGGAGTTCGAGACCAGCATGGCCAACATGGTGAAACCCCATCTCTACTAAAAAATACAAAAAAAGGCCGGGCGCGGTGGCTCACACCTGTAATCCCAGCACTTTGGGAGGCCCAGGCGGGTGGATCATGAGGTCAAGAGATCGAGACCATCCTGGTCAACATGGTGAAACCCCGTCTCTACTAAAAATACAAAAAATTAGCTGGGCATGGTGGCACGTGCCTGTAATCCCAGCTACTCAGGAGGCTGAGGCAGGAGAATTGCCTGAACCCAGGAGGCGGAGGTTGCGGTAAGCCGAGATCGCGCCATTGCACTCCATCCAGCCTGGGTAACAAGAGTGAAACTCTGTCTCAAAAAAAAAAAAAAAAAAAATACAAAAAAAATTAGCCAGGCATGGTGGCAGGTGCCTGTAATCCCAGCTATTCTGGAGGGAGGCAGGAGAATCGCCTGAACCTGGGAGGCAGAGGTTGCACTCCAGCCTGGACAATAAGGGCAAAACTCCATCTCAAAAAAAAAAAAGTTAAAGAAGTCAGAAAATAATCATTAATAACCATAGTAACTGAGAATGATGATAATAACTATGGCAATAATATCTAACGTTAATTAACAGTAACTAGGTAGCTTATCTTCCCACCTCAGGAAGGAGGCCTCCAATAAAAAAAGACAGCAAGGCATCTACTCCCCAAAGCCTGGGAGAATCAGATCTTCAGGCCTCTAAGTTCCTCCATTTTGGCTCTAGACTTGCCAGTGGCCTTCTACTGATGTCATGGTTTTTGCAAAGAAACTTGACAGTTAACAATATTTAGCGAGAAAGAAAAATCATTGGACTGAGTAGGGTTCTAGTATGGCCAACTTAGTTTTATCTGTGACATCTGGCAAGGTCAGTTTTCTAGTCCTGAGTTTCCAGGTAAGACCTTTTCCTGAGCTTCTCAAACTTTAACAAGCCTCTGAATAGCCTTGGGATCTTGTTGAAATGCAGATTTCTGGGTCCTATCTGCAAAAAAATCTAAATGAGAAGGTCTTGGGTAGGGCTCAAGAATGAGCATTTCTACCTGAGTGATGCCAATGTTGCTGCTTTGTGGACCACAGTTTGACTAGTGTTGTACCCAGTCCCCCCAAAAACAGCTCCTACTAAACAGAAATATACACAAGAAAAACTTGACAAAAAGGTACTAAAACAATAGCTGTTATTTTTATATCCTAAGGTATAAAGGTAAATGGGGAATTTACATTTTTTAAATATATTTCTATACTTTCCATGATTATGTGTTACCTCTATACTATTTGAAACAAAACTAATAACTGAGAAAACTGTTTTTTTTTTTTTTTTTGAGACGGAGTTTCGCTCTTGTTACCCAGGCTGGAGTGCAATGGCGCGATCTCGGCTCACCGCAACCTCCACCTCCTGGGTTCAGGCAATTCTCCTGCCTCAGCCTCCTGAGTAGCTGGGATTACAGGCACGTGCCACCATGCCCAGCTAATTTTTTGTATTTTTAGTAGAGACGGGGTTTCACCATGTTGACCAGGATGGTCTCGATCTCTTGACCTCGTGATCCACCCGCCTCGGCCTCCCAAAGTGCTGGGATTACAGGCTTGAGCCACCGCGCCCGGCCCTGGAGAAAACTGTTTTTTAAAACTCTTTTGTTCTTTTGAGACAGTCTTGCTCAGTTGCCCAGGCTGGAGTGCAATGGTGTGATCTCAGCTAACTGCAACCTCACCTCCCGGGTTCAAGCGATTCTCCTGCCTCAGCCTCCCAAGTATCTGGAATTGCAGCTGTTCACCACCACGCCTGGGTAATTTTTGTATGTTTAGTAGAGATGGAATTTCGTCATGTTGGCCAGGCAGGTCTCAAACTCCTGGCCTCAAGGATCTGCCCGTCTCAGCCTCCCAAAGTGCTGGCATTATAGGCGTGAGCCACCACGCCCGGTCACTATTTTCTAAAAACTAATAAAATAGCCCACACCTTGAGCAAAGTTCCCACAGTGAAGTCTCAACCTACCTTCAAATGATACTAGTCAGTTTCCTATGGCTCATGGAGAACATGCCAAAGAAAACTCAGGTCTACACTAAGACTGCCTAGGTTTCAACGCTAGCTCTGCCTCCTACTAGCTGGGTGGCTATGAGAAAACAAGTTATGTTCTTCCTTTTTTTTTTTTTTTTTTAAGACGGGGTTTCACCATGTTGGTCAGGCTGGTCTTGAACTCCCGACCTCAGGTGATCCGCCCGCCTTGGCCTCCAAAGTGCTTGGATTACAGGCGTGAGCCACCATGCCCGGCCACAAGTTATGTATGTCTCAGTCTCCTCGGAAAAAAGAGTATCACTTCAGAGTCACTGTTCGGTGGAAAAGTGTTCATTTGTATAATCATAATTACTTCCCATGCCCAAATACACGACCCACACATTCTTTGATTTATGTGAATAAAACAAGAAGAATATTAACAAGTCGTACTCACATGAGGTTCTGCTGCCTCCTCCTCTGTGCAGTGCTTTTTGAGAAGTCAGGGCTGGGGAAGAAAAAGAGGCTGTGAAATTACCAGGATTGTGTCTCCATCCCCGATATATCACCGGCATCCCCTAGTACCAGTGAGAAACAACCATCTCCTTCCTAAAAAGAGGTCAAGGACAATCTAGCTTCATGGGCTCACAGAAGTTCGCTACAAAATGGGAGTTTCTAGGGAAAATGTAGTATTGGCAATCCACGTACTGGGCAGTTTTAAACTTTTTGTACTACCTTGCTTTTTCTCACAACATTTTATTACTTTTATTTTCCTTCAGAACAGCAAACAAAGGCACGGGGATTAACTCGCTCAGTGTGATACTGCATAAAGTGGTAGGGCTGGCTCACTAGGTGGAAGGGGAGTCACAATGCGGGAGCAAACAGCCCCAGAGACCTTCAAATCCGAAGACGCACCACCCCAGCAGCCCCATGCCAATACGGCCCCAATGCAAACAAGCTCCGCCGACGGAAACGCAAAAGAGCATCCTAGCCCCTCAAACCTCTGCTCTTAGCCGCTACTCCTTTTTTTCTCCAAACAAAACACAGCTACCTGTTGACCATAAGCGCATTTCGGGGAAGTCTGAAACGTTCCTGAGGAGCTGACTTAAAGAACCAAAACCAGGGAAAAAAGATGGCTGCTACGTCGTCTTCCTGGGTGGAAGTGCCTCCGACTCCCAGGAGCACTAGGACTACACTTCCCAGAATTCCACAGCACTGCCTTCCTCGAGCAGGAAGTGCCTGCAACTACCTGGAGCGACTGGACCTACATTTCTCAGGATCCCGCAGAGGAAACATTTACAGCATAACTGTAGCTGACCTATGTGCGACTACACGGAGCTCCGGACAACATATCACAGAATGCTGGAGTTGAGGGAAAAGCAGAACAGCATCCCCCTCCTGGACTACACTTCCAGAATGTCCAAGCCTTCTGATGTGGAAGTGTCAAACTATTTTGAGCTTCTGGTTTTCATTTCCCAGAATCCCTCACGTCTCTTTAGGTATTATTATGGTCTCAGTGTTTATGGCCCCGCCAAATTAATATGTTGAAAACCTAACTCCCAAGATGATGGTATTAGAAAGTGGAACCTGTGGGAAGTGATCAGATCAAGAGGGCAATGCCCTCATGAATAGGATTAATGCTGTCTTCCAAGTGGCCTGAGGGAGCTCCTTTGCCACTTTAGTATGTGAGGACACAGCCAGGACCACCCATGACTCAGAAAGCGGGACCTCACCAGACACTGAATCTTCTGGCACCCGATCTTGGGCTTATGTGCCAGCAATTCCACTCCTAAGTAAATACCCAAGATAACTGAAACATATCCATACAAAAACTTGTACTAAAAAAGTTCATAGCAGCATTAGTCATATATTTATTTATTTATTTATATTTATTTATTTTGAGACTTGAGTCTCACTCTGAGACGGAGTCTCGCTTTGCTGTCCAAGCTGGAGTGCAGTGGCTTGATCTCAGCTGGCTGCAACTTCCGCCTGCCAGGTTTAAACAATTCTCTGCCTCCGCCACCCAAGTAACTGGGATTATAGGCGCCTGCCACCACGCCTGGCTAATTTTTGTATTTTTAATAGAGACAGGGTTTCACCATATTGGCCAGGGTAGTCTGGAACTCCTGACTCATGATTCACCTGCCTTGGCCTCCCAAAGTGCTGGGATTAACAGGTGTGAACCACCGTGCCTGGCTGAGCCATACCGTATTTTTACCCCACACCTATTAAGTGAATACCAAAAACAACCTGTGGAAATTGGATAATTTTATCAAATGTATTATTTGGGCAGGATTGACATTTACCATGCTTTTCCTTATTCTCTTAATACTTCTCTACCTGAGAAGTACTTATTAATACTCAGGTAGAGAAGTAATAATAAGAGAATGCTACAGTTATTAGAAGGCAGTCATTTCAAAGTCTGGATGGAAATGTGGAAAGTCAGAAATCAAATAAATTCAAGGAGGGGTGATAAAATTTTTGTCATTGGCAACTACTTCTGACACTTTAAAAGTGTTAGAGTAGGGCCGGGCATGGTGGCTTACACCTGTAATCCTAGCACTTTGGGAGGCCGAGGTGGGCGGATCACCTGAGGTCAAGAGTTCAAGACCAGCCTGGCCATCATGGTGAAACCCCCCATCTTGGAAAAAAAAAAAGTGTTAGAGTAAATCCCTGCCTTAACACTGATGGATTAAAAATTCATTGGTGTAATATTCAGTAATCTCTTGTCAGCTTAATTTTTTTTTTTCGTCTGCACTGTCAGAAAAATCACAAAAGATACTTCAACTTGGCCGGGTGCAGTGGCTCATGCGTATAATTCCAACACTTTGGGAGGCCAAGGCAGGTGGATTGCTTGAGCTCAAGAGTTCAAGACTAGCCTGAGCAACATGGTGAAACCCTGTCTCTACAAAATATACAAAAATTAGGTGGGTGTGGAGGCACGTGCCTGTGGTCCCAGCTATTCAGAGGGTGAGCGAGGAAGATGGATTGAGCCTGGGAGGACAAGGCAGCAGTGAGCCATGATTGCACCACTGCACTCCAGCCATGGTGACAGAGCAAAATCCTGTCTCAAAAATAAAAATAAAGGTACTTCAACTTATGTTTTATACAACCTTGGGGAAACTAGACAGGCTCTCAAACAATAAGAACCAAATTTGAGAAGAGAGATTAGAGAGAGGACACGTGTCAACTGTAAAAGGGTAATATAATACCGTATTAATATTGTAGAATGCAGTATCTAGTGGTTTTCTACATTTTAACAAATGTTCATTTCCCCCAAATAATTTTATTTTGCAGGTTTCTTCCTCTGGGTACAATGTTCAAATATTGTACATTTACTCCTTTTGATTCAGTTAACAAACAAGTATTGAGCACACCTACAATCACTAGTCAATGTTAAGGTTGTATAGATTCAGCCCCAAAGTTCCTGCCCCCATGGAGCTTACAGTCTAATGGACATCAATTCTGGCACCTTCATCAATATACTTTTTTAAAGCCCAGGTCAAACCTATTTTCTAAGTCCTGTTTCCTAGGTGACATCCTATAAATGTCAAAGTTTTTACAGAATTCTTTATTGTACTACTTAACAACGGTTCTCAGCTGTGTGGTCACTGGACCACTGGGATATGTCGAGCTATTGCTTAAACACTGCCTTAAATAAAACAAATACTTTAAATAAGAGAATGCCACAGTAATTAGAAGGCAATCATTTCAAAATCTAGATGGAGGCCAGGTGTGGTGGCTCATGCCTATAATCCCAGCACTTTGGGAGGCGGAGGCAGGTGGATCACCTGAGGTCAGGAGTTCAAGACCAGCCTGGCCAACATGGTGAAACCTTGTCTCTACTAAAAATACAAAAATTACCCGGGTGTGGTGGCATGTGCCTATAATCCTAGCCACTCAGGAGGCTGAGGCAGGAGAATCGCTGGAAACAGGAGGTGGAAGTTGCAGTGAGCTGAGATTGCACCACTGCATCCAGCATAAGCAAGAGAATGAGACTCAGTTAAAAAAAAAAAAAATGTCTAGATGGAAATGTGGAGCGTTACAAATCAAATCAAATTCAAGGAAGCTGATAAAGAAAATTTTTGTCTCCTATGAAATCTGATTACAAGCATTCAGGTTGTACATGAGTTTTGTTTTGTTTTAATCACCTTGTCAAACTTCCTTTCTCTGACAATTATCTGATATTCTTATTACTCTCATCATTTTCATAGAATATACCAGCAGCATGAATTTTGTGATGACTTACAAGATTTGATCGCCAGCTAAAGCTCTTACCACATATTGCACATTTGTAAGGTTTCTCCCCAGTGTGAACTCGCCTATGATACTGTAGTTGTGAAGACCGACTGAAGACTTTACCACACACATCACATTTGTACGGTTTCTCTCCTGTGTGGACACTCTGATGAAGTTGGAGACTTGAGGCCTGACTGAAGTGCTTCCCACACTCCCCACATGTATATGGCTTTTCTCCAGTGTGCACCCTCTGATGCATGTCAAGGTTCAAGCTCCACTTGAAGCCCTTTCCACACTCCCCACATTTGTATGGCTTTTCTCCAGTGTGGACTTTTTGATGGGCTTGAAGGTGTGCACTCCGACTGAAGCTCTTCCCACACTCTTCACATTTAAATGGTTTTTCCCCACTGTGAACTCTCTGATGGGTCAGAAGATGTGAGGCCTGACTGAAGACCTTCCCACACTCCTCACAATTATATGGCTTCTCTCCTGTGTGTATCCTACAATGAATTTTAAGATCTGCTCTACGACTGAATCCCTTTCCGCACTCTTCACATTTGTACGGTTTCTCACCGGTATGGATCAGCTGGTGAATCTGAAGTCGTGAGCTTTGATTGAAGCCCTGTCCACACTCCTCACACTTAAAAGGTTTCTGTACACTATGTGCTTTCAGATGGATTTTAAGATATGAACTCTGACGGAAGGCTTTTCCACATACCTCACATTTATAGGGTTTCTCCCCTGTGTGGACCACCAGATGTACTTGATAATGAATTTTCATTCTGAAGCTCTTCCCACACTCATTGCATTTATACGGCTTCTCTCCAGTGTGGACTCCCTGATGGGCCTGAAAACTTGAACTGTAAATGAAACCCTTACCACACACTTTACATACATATGGTTTCTCTCCAGTGTGGATTCTCCGATGGGCCTGAAATTGTGAAGGCTGAATAAAGCACTTACCACATTCTTCACACTTGTAAGGTTTCTCTCCTGTGTGGACCCTTTGATGGATACGAAGGTTTGAGCTACAAGTGAAACACTTACCACAGTCCTCACATTTGTATGGTTTCTCTCCTGTGTGGACCATGCAATGATTATTAAGTGCTGATCTACGACGGAAGTTCTTACCACATGTATCACATTTGAATGGTTTCTCCCCAGTATGGATTCTCTGATGTTCCTGAAGATGGGAAGCATGTATGAAGGCCCTCCCACATTCCTCACAATTGTAAGGTTTCTCTCCTGTGTGTAATTTGCAATGCACAGTAAGTGTTGATCTACGACTGAAGCCTTTTCCACATTCCACACATTTGAATGGTTTCTCTACAGTATGGACTCTCTGATGAGTTTGCAGATGTGAGCTTTGACTGAATTCCTTACCACACAAGTCACACTTATAGCGTTTCTCTCCCATGTGGACTCTCTGATGAATATGAAGGGCTGAGATGTAACAGAAGCTTTTTCCACACTCATCACATGTATGAGACTTCTCTCCTGGGTGTAACTGTTGATGAAGGTCAAAGTTGCAGGCATCAGTGAAGGACTTTTTGTCCTCCTTATATTGGTAAAGCTTCTGTTCCATGTGAGTTGTATATAGTCCTGCCCTAACCTGGCAGGACAAATCACCTTGTTTGGGGAACTGAGAAATATTTATCATAGAGTCTTCATACTTGACTAAATCACTTGCAATCTGTTTCCAGATTTGCCCCCAGGAAAGTTCTTCATGTGGTCCTGCCTCCATCTCACTGTGGATCTTGTCTGCTGTAAGGACAGAGAATTCAGAGATGTGAAAACTGAAGTCTCTGTTTAAAGTTTTCAAGATGTCATACTTAGGAGAGAGCATGGGATTTTAACAAATCCAGAGACGATCCAGTTTGTGTAATTGTCTTTTCCACTGTGTATCATGATCTCTGATTTGCATGCCTAGAGAAATCAAGAGGTAGTCTAATTGGATGCTATCTACTAGGCATTAGACCATACCAAGTCTCCTAAGTGAGATACAAGTTAGAAGTCAGAGTTAATTTTAAAAATTAATAATATGAAGCTGGGCATGGTGGCGCATGCCTGTAATCCCAGCTACTCAGGAGGCTGAGGCAGGAGAATTGCCTGAACCCAGGAGGCGGAGGTTGCGGTGAGCCAAGATCGCGCCATTGCACTCCAGCCTGGGTAACAAGAGCGAAACTCCGTCTCAAAAAAAAAAAAAAAAAAATTAATAATATGATACAAATTGTACTGCCATTTCCACTGAATTTTAAAGTCAATGTAGAATAACAAATAGTAAATTATATAAATATGAAAAGCATAGGCTATGGTTATGCCTGTATAGCTCAGCATTTTGGGAGGCTGGGGCAGAAGGATATAGTTTGAAGCCAGGGTTTGAGACCAGTCTGGGCAACAAAGCAAGAATGTTTCTCTATTAAAAATATTAAAAGGCCAAGTGTAGTGGCTCATGCCTGTAATCCCAGCCCTTTGGGAGGCTGAGGCAGGTGGATCACCTGAGGTCAGGAGTTCCAGACCAGCCTGGAAAACATGGTGAAACCCTGTCCCTACTAAAAATGCAAAAATTAGCTGGGTGTGGTGGCAGATGCCCATGATCCCAGCCTCTCCACAGGCTGAGGGAGGAGAATGGCTTGAACCCAGGAGGCAGAGGTTGCAGTGAGCTAAGATCACGCCATTGCACTCCAGCCTGGGGGACAAGAGCAAGACTTCATCTCAAATAAATAAATAAATAAAATTAAAAGTTTAAAAAAACATACATAATATGAATCAACAAGAACTTCAAGGGAAAGCAAGAAAATAATAAAATACTTTGCAGTTTAGGTTCATGTACATATTCAAATTATTAAATAACCTGAAATATTTATATCTACATGTTCAAACAGCTGACCCTTGAACAACACAGGTTTGAATTGCATGTGTCCACTTAAATACATGGATTTTCTTCCATCTCTGTCATCCCTTAGCCAGCAAGACCAATCCCTCATCTTCCTCCTTAAAATTTTCTTAATAACATTTTCTCTTCTCTCTATTGCAAGAATAAATAATTATTTCTTTATTATAAAAATATAGTATATAATACATTATAACATATAAAATATGTGTTAATTGACCGTTTATGTTTTTTTTTTTTTTTTTTTTTTTTTTGAGACGGAGTTTCGCTCTCGTTACCCAGGCTGGAGTGCAATGGTGCGATCTTGGCTCACCGCAACCTCCGCCTCCTGGGTTCAGGCAATTCTCCTGCCTCAGCCTCCTCAGTAGCTGGGACTACAGGCACGCGCCACCATGCCCAGCTGATTTTTTGTATTTTTAGTAGAGACAGGGTTTCACCATGTTGACCAGGATGGTCTCGATCTCTTGACCTCGTGATCCACCCGCCTTGGCCTCTCAAAGTGCTAGGATTACAGGCTTGAGCCACCGCGCCCGGCCTCGTTTATGTTATTAGTAGGTCTTTTTAGTTAAATTTTAGGGAGCAGTCATAAGTTATACATGGATTTTTACTGTACATGGATTTTTACTGTGAGGGGAATTAGTGTCCCCAACCCCCATGTTGTTCAAGGGTCAACCATATTCTTGAAAATTCTGCAAAACATATATACTTATTTTTCTGTGTTGATAGACATTAAATGAGTTGGCAACTATTATAAACTCTTGACCACTTCTAATATAACTTACATTTAAAATGTGTCTTCTGAAAGGTTTATCCTTAATAATATTCCAAAATGTTTAACCTTGTACAAAGAGATCTAAATATTTGGAAATAATTTTTTAAATGAACTCTTCCACAAAAGTTTAGTGGAAAGAAGTACCTCTAAAGAAATTTTTACAGGGGAAAAACTTACTTCCCTCTCTTCAGGAATAGTGATTTAAAAGCTGCCTCTTGGCAGGGTGCAGTGGCTCACACCTGTAATTCCAGCACTTTGGGAGGCTGAAGCCAGAGGATCATATGAGCCCAGGAGTTCAAGACCAGCCTGGACAATTTAGCAAGACTCTGTCCCCACTGAAAACCTTTTTCAAAAATTGGACAGATGTGGTGGTGGCATGCACCTGTAGTTCCCACTACTTGGGAGGCTGAGATGGAGGACCGCTTGAATGCAGGAGTTAGAGGCTGCTGTGAGCCATGATTGTATCACTCTACTTCAACCTGAGTGACAGAGTGAGACTCTGTCAGGCGAAAAAAAAAAAAAAAAAAGCTGCCTCCTCCTTTGTATCAGCAGACATTTGTTAAATGGTGTCTACATAACTCTGCCTTGGTCATTTTATTGGAAAGTTACTTCAATGTCTGGGTGACTGGAATGGTTAACATGACTTGCAGCCTGGGAGCAACTATCTAACCACATACTGACTAAAATATAGCAGATAAGCAGATGGTGAAACTTTAGCTTCTGTTGGCAAGTGTCCTACGTGATGACAAAAGGGAAAAAAAGTTGAACTGATAACATACATTATTTTAAGATCTAGCAGTAATTCAGACCTCCAGGAAAAAAAAAAAGTGAAAAAGTAGGCTCCAATCTTTCACAACTGAGATGGAGATGGCGAGAAGAAAAAGATGATGTCACAGTGTATACTCTGAAAGCCAGTCTCACAGCAGGTGTTATATTTAGGCAGGAACTCTTCCCAGATAGCGATATGGATGGTTCCTCATGTCTTGTGGGTCTTTGCTCAATGTCAGCTCACCAGTGAGGCCTGCTTTATTACCCATTGAAAAACAATGAATCCTGTCTTCACCCAATTCACCTCTGGTAATTCGAACTTGTTTATGTTCTTCACAGCACTTTCACCACTTGGACATACTAAGTTACTGGTTATTTAATGTATGTCCTTCCCACAACAATGCAGCATCAATGAGGGAAGGATTTTCTAATTCTGACATAATACTCATTTTACACTTTCCTACTTTGTAACCACTGTCCAGAACTATGCCTGTCACAGTGAATGCTCAATAAATGCATGTTGAATGAATAAATGAACCCCAGTTTGACTTTTTCATGTGAGAATTTAAGCCAAGTCCTAGAAGAAAAACATCTTTTCCAAATAAGTAATTCAAAGTAGGAAAAGAACAGAAAATTTTAATTTTGCAGAGAAGTTGAAAAGCTGTACAAGGGACAGGTACATCCAGGATGAGGCTAATGATAAAATTTGAAGGTGGCAAGAATCACTTGGGATGAAAAGCAAGCAGAAAGGCCTATATACTGGTTCCCTCTGAAGCTCTGAATGTAGTTAAGTTGGGCCTTTCACAACAGTTTTTCAAATTAGCAACTGTAGCCCTTTAAAGAGCTGTGAAATAAATTTAAAAGCTTGTAATAAGCATTCAGAAAAAAACAACCAGGATAGAAACTATCAGAGCATTACCACCAGCAGGAAAGGGGTCCTTAGGTGAAATGCTTACTAAAGCAATAATGTCAATCTACACAGACATGTATTGTTTGTTTCATTGTTCTGGTTACAGTAAAAGATGCATTTCTTGCTATGGCTCATGCTCAAAAGAGCTAAAAAACGTGGGTTCTAGAAGGTACCTGGTCCTTAATTAAACAAATTGCTTCAAATAGATAGACAATTTCCAAGCATGACACCTTGAAAAAATATTAATAGGAGAGTATGTAACTCTTGGTATATTATATATATATGATGAATATATGATTGGATTTAACAAACTGACCCTTAAAAATAGTAGTTTTTTGAGGGGACAAGTCTCTCTGATGATGTGACAATTTTGAGCAAGAAGTTTCTTCATTCTTCCCAGGTTATAATGTCAACTAGTTGAAAATAAAAGCCAGGTCTTTATTAAAATAAAGGAAAAATTGTGTTCATATATATATATATAAACACATTAAATTTTTATTCATTTTCTTTTTTGAGACTCTGTCTTAATAATACTAGTAATATAGTGTCCTTAGCCGGTCTGGGAAATAGTAGGGAGGATGATGTGGCTGGCAAAGATGGAGCGAGAGGTAGAATACAGGAGATGTAGTCAGAGAGGCAGAGGGGGATGAAGAGCAGAACACGTAGGACTCTATGAGCTCCTATAAAAGGCTTCAACTGGCTGGGCGCGGTGGCTCACGCCTGTAATCCCAGCACTTTGGGAGGCCGAGGCGGGTGGATCACGAGGTCAAGAGATTGAGACCATCCTGGTCAACATGGTGAAACCCCGTCTCTACTAAAAAAATACAAAAAATTATCTGGGCATGGTGGCATGTGCCTGTAATCCCCGCTACTCAGGAGGCTGAGGCAGGAGAATTGCCTGAACCCAGGAGGCGGAGGTTGCGGTGAGCCGAGATTGCGCCATTGCACTCCAGCCTGGGTAACAAGAGCGAAACTCCGTCTCAAAAAAAAAAAAATAAATAATAAGAAGCCATTCAGAGTCTGTTTTTTTTTTTTAGACAGAGTGTCGTTCTGTTGCCCAGGCTGGAGTGCAGTGGTGTGATCTCGCCATACTTTCTCTAGCTCACAGCAACCTCGCCTCTTGGGTTCAGCTGATTCTCCTGCCTAAGCCTCCCAAGTAGCTGGGACTACAGGCGCTTGCCACCACGCCTGGCTAATTTTTGTATTTTTAGTAGAGATGGGGTTTTGCCATGTAGGCCAGGTTGGTCTCAAACTCCTGACTTCAGGTGATCCTCCTGCTTCGGCCTCCCAAAGTGCTGGGATTACAGGTGTGAGCCACTGTGCCCAGCCCCATACAGGGTCTTAAGCAGAGGAACAGCAATCTGACTTATATTTCCAAAAAATCACTTTCGCTGTAACATGGAGAACAGCCTGTAGGAGAACATACATTATACCTTAAAGTATACCTGGCTTTGTACTGCACTTAGTATGAAGGCTGTTGCAATCATCCAGGACAGAGATTTGGCAATTTGGACCATATGACAGCAACAGCAGGGGAGAGGAGTACAACAGATGGACAATCATGCAAAAGGACTCTCAGCTGCTTGGTTCTTGCCTGATTTCTCTTTTCTTTGGGTGGCTTTCTTCATCATATCAAGCTTTTTTTCCCCTTCTAAAAGGAATACACCATGTTTGAAGGGGTGATGCCCTAAAACATGCAAAGTCACATATTTAAAACAAACACACTGAAGGTACAACTGAACTTACTGGCAATTTGAATTACTACTGTATACTGATCAATCAATCAAAAGCAGAGTTTTTCAAACACTTATAGAATTACCTAATGAAGAAATGTCAGTATTTCAAGATCTGGACAAATACACATAAATATGTGCTATAAAAACCTATTTCTGAAAGGAGTTAGCTAGCTTGCCTTAGGTAGACAGCAAAGGAAGGGTCTTTGGAGAGCCCCCTGACCCATGGGTTTGTGAGTTATTTTTATATAACATAAAAAGCAGCCTGGAAAAAAAATTTTTAAGCTACAGGCACTGATAAGGGAACTAGCACAGGGTGTTGTGCCTGGAGACATGCCCACTGCTGCACAGACAGAAAAACCTCTGGCCCATTAGGAAAAAAATGTATACAAATCTCCAGCTCACTCAGATAAAGGAACAAGGCCTGGCATAAGAACACCTTTGCCCTTTGCATAGTCAGTGGGCTCCCAGGAAAAAGTTTCTTCTTCTTTCGTGGGCCTGGGTACAGTGGGTTCCAGTGGGTTCCAGTGGGTTCCAGTGGGTTCCAGTGGGCACTCTACTTTCTTTTTCTCAAACTGTAAGTCCAGCCTCTGTAAATCATCACTTCGGCCAGTTTGTCCCAGGCCAAGCTAAGCCATACTTTCTCCAAAATAGCCCACAAACTACATTCCTTCTCCTTGCCAGTCCACAAAAATCCCACACCCCAGTTTCATAGGGGGCACCCCGTTTGGGTTCCCCTCTCTGCTGACAAAAAGCTTTCTTCTTTTACTTATTAAACTTTCACTCCAACCTCACCTTTCTGTCTGTGCTCCTTAATCTTCTTAAAAAATAAAACAAAAAACTCTGGGTGTTATCTCAAACGACAAAATACTGTTACATCTTGTTGCATTGCTAAACTACATTTCTAACCAACATCTATTTTCTTTTTTTCGCTTTTTTTTTTTTTTTTTTTTGCGGCAGTCTTACTGTCACCCAGGCTGGAGTACAGTGGCATGAGCTAGGCTCACTACAACCTCTGCCTCCCAGGTTCAAGTGATTCTCATGCCTCAGTCTCCCAAGTAGCTGGGATAACAGGCATGTACCACCACATCTGGTCAATTTTCGTATTTTTTAGTTTTTAGTAGAGACGGAGTTCTGCTATGTTGGCCAGGCTGGTCTCAAACTCCTGAACTCGGGTGATCCACCCACCTCGGCCTCCCAAAGTGCTGGGATTACAGGTGTCAGCCACCATGCTCAGCCCCAGTCTATCTTCATTAAATCTCCTCCCACCGGTTCTCACACCACTCATGCAATTTACCAGTTTTATTTGCTATGTATTCCATTTCTTCTAATGAACTCGGACATTTTCTATCTCATTTTATTTCACTAAAAACTGTTGATAGAAAAGTCAGGTCCACAAATGTGAGTGACTAATTCAAAACCTCCAAACTGTTGAACACCTGAAGACACAAAATCACTCCAGGAGACTGACATTCAGTGTCACAAGGCTCATGTCCTCACCCACTGAGAGCAGGTTCCTGAAGTTCTCCAGCATCACATCTCTGTACAGATTCCTCTGGACAGGGTTGAGCAGCCCCAGCTCCTCCTCAGTGAAGACCACAGCCACGTCCTTGAAGGTCAGTCCCTCCTATAACATCAAACACACCATGCTTCAGCATTATTAACAACCACTTGAAAAGAAACAGCACTGAGAAGGTGGAGAGTATGCAGGGTAAGTTGGTCCAGATTTTCAGAGACTTAATGTGTAGATTTCTCAGCCCTTCCCCTTCCATCTTACCAATGCCACGCTTCCATTTTCCTTAGCGTCAGTAAAGGTACATCAGTGACAATAGCCTTCAATGTTGTCTTTGTGCCTTCACTGAGTCTATTTGTAAGTAGCTATCTAGAACTCTAAATGATGCATCCTGAGCCATACAGGTTTCACCTTTTGGTAAATATTACCAATTGCCCCAGAAACATTTAGCAAGTCAGAACCAACATAACATGATAACATCCACCTTCCTCCTCTCACACAGGAACCCTGGATGCTATCCCTTTTCATGAAAGTCTGCCAAACTAACAAGCTTTGGGGAACATGTTTGGAACTGCTATATAGTTTTCCTTCTGTTTACCTAGGGCACACAGCACCATCACTACCTGCAGTATTTGGTGTCATGATCTGGAGCCATCATACCTCAGTGTACACCACAAGGGTGCCCTTCAAAGTTGTGTGACCTTGGATAAGTTCACCTAGTTTCATCTTGGATATGACAGTTCTTCCATGACAGAGTTCTTTCAAAGGCTGAACAAGAGACCACATATAGCATTTGGAATAGTGTGTGGCACAGACGAAGTGCCTAACAAACATTAGCTATTATTTATTATTATTATCATCATCTATTTCATCTTACTTCATGACTGCATATTATTCGAGGGAACTGATGATCTGTACCTACCTGTTCTAAATAATGAATATTTAATTTTAAATATTTTTCTCATTACAGCCAATCCAGCAAAAACATCATTTTACGTGGATCTTACTTTTTAATTTTTATTTTATTTTATTTTTGATTCAGTTCACAGCCAAAACTTTTTTTTTTTGAGACCGAGTTTCGCTCTTGTTGCCCAGGCTGGAGTGCAATGGCACCATCTTGGCTCACTGCAACCTCTGCCTCCCGGATTCGAGTGATTCACCTGCCTCAGCCTCCCAAGTAGCTGGGATTACAGGCATGTGCCACCATGCTCGGCTAATTTTGTATTTTCAGTAGAGACAGGGTTTCACCATGTTGGTCAGGCTAGTCTTGAACTTCTGACCTCAAGTGATCCGCCTGCGTTGGCCTCCCAAAGTTCTGGGATTACAGGCACGAGCTACCACGCCAAGTAGATCTTACTTTCATGTGTATTTAAAATGATTGCAGGCCACGCACAGTGGGTCACACCTGTAATCCCAGTACTTTGGCAGGCCAAGGCTGGTAGGCTGTTTGAGCCCAGGAGTTCAAGACCAGCCTGGCCAACATGGTGAGACCCTGTCTCTACAAAAAATTAGCTGCATGTGGTGGTGTGTGCCTGTGGCCATACGTACTCAGGAGGCTGAGATGAGGGAAGTGCTTGAGCCCAGGAAATCAAGATTGTGGTGAGCCATGATCCCACTACTGCACTCTAGCCTGGGTGACAGAGTGAGACCCTGTCCCAAAAAAATAAGTAAACTAATTGCAAATGAAAAATAAAACACCTAAACATAAACACAATTAAAACTATAAATCACATAATGGCAGATTTTTTTCCTAACCTTTTTACTGCCTCCCTAATCTTTCAAGAGAATACAAGTACCTTGTTTCTCTACATGATGAGCAACATCAGGTTACAAATTTTCCAATGGTTTTGGTAATCTAATTAAGAATAACATTTCTTTTTTTTTTTTTTTTTGAGATGCATTTTCGCTCTTGTTGTCCAGGCTGGGGTGCAATGGCGTGATCTCAGCTCACTGTAACCTCTGCCTCCTGGGTTCAGGTGATTCTCCTGCCTCAGCCTCCCAAGTAGCTGGGATTACAGGCATGCGCCACCATGCCTGGCTAATTTTGTATTTTTAGTAGAGATGGGGTTTCTCCATGTTGGTCAGGCTAGTCTTGCACTCCTGACCTCAGAAGATCTGCCCGCCTTGGCCTCCCAAAGTGCTGTGATTACAGGCGTGAGCCACCGCACCGGCCAACAATTCTTTTTCTTATTCTTACTTACTTAATTATAAATGAATACCAGCCTTTATTATAAATTTCATCTTTTTTGGCACCTGTGTGATAAATATTTTTGCCCTAGCTTGTTATGTTTTCTCTTAATACTCTGTAAGGTATCTTTTGTCATGGAGTAATTTAAAGGTTTTATATAATCACTGTGCTGATCATCATCCTTGTGCACCCAGAGTGCTGAGCATCTTATAGTGCACCTGAGGGGCCGCCACATTAGGAAGACAAGGTGTCCCCCAATACCTATGGACGTCATCACCCAACAGGGCACTCCAGACACCCACGCCATGGGTCATTCAATTGAGAAATATTTGTTTCCCTTTGTCTCTCACTTTCACTTGAATGGAATGGCTAATGTTCCTGACCCCTGATTTCCTATGCCAATCTGAGCAGGTTTCTCATATTTCACGTTTAAGAGAAAGAAGAGGCCGGGAACCTCCTCACTCCACTGCTCTGAGTAAATGCGGTAACAGAACACAAGTGACTGGCAAATGTTCAGCATCACTGGACGTTTTAAATGAAGGTTACTACCTACTACTTTGGTCAAACTGGTTACTACATGAAGGCATAAGACACTAGTAAATAAAATGCATATAAGGTGTGATTGAGGCATGGAGAACACAGAATCTAGCCCTTCCTATATGAAAACTCCAACAATATTTGTGTAAAGCAGCATTATAGCCTGTTGTGCTATGCCATGTTAGAATATTCTATCTACAAAACAGCCAATGTGGTACATGTCAAAAGTACCCTTTCAAAATTGAGCTTCCAGTACCTTAAAGACAAAAAAATCAGCAGAAAGTTTTCGGAATTGCTTTTTGAGGAAAAGGTTATGTAGGAAAATTGTCACTGCAGTGTTATTTAAAACAATGAAATTCTTAAATCATCTACTTGTCCGTGAGTGGGAGGTAGTCAAAAATAAAAAGAAACATTAATTAAAGGGGAATATGGCATAACCTCAAAAAATGAACATTATTTAGTACCTAATGAATAAATAATAATTAAAAATGAGATACATATGAATACTAATAGTTACGAATGCACATTAGGAAAAGACTGTAAGAAAATAAAAACGGCTAATATGTAAGCAGAGAGGTGGGAGAACTGTTCATTCCCACTAATTTTTCTGCTCTATAAAAGAAATACAGTTGTCTTTCAAAATGCTTGGGGAATTGGTTCAAGGACCCCTGAGGATACCATAATTTGTGATGCTCAAATCTCTTATCTAAAATAGTGTTTGTAGTACAGTACAGGGTTCCACATCTGTAGACTCAACCAACCACAAAAGGAAAAGACATATGGTCAGCCTTACATATACTCAAGTTTCAATCTGCAGTTGGTTGAATCCACAGATGCAAAACTCAAAGATGCATAACCCCTAGATGTGAAACCCACAGATACAGAAGGTCAACTGACTGCAATAATAAAATAAACAACGTCTAAAACCAAAGTCAACTCAAAAGGCAGAGTTGTTCTTGAGTCTTCCTGAGCAAACATGACAATGTGAATAGTGAGATGGAATTTTAACAGCAAGACAGGCAAGCCTTATTCACCTTGAATGTGGTCATTTTTCCTCCTGTTTCTGGGAATTTGCAGAGTCCTGAGTTATGCCATTTGAGAGAAGGCAGAATCGTGCCTGGAACACTATTGAAGACATAAAAAGTCTTTTTAAAGTTTTTTGAAATCAGGAAATAGTCATAGGAGTAACAATAATGAGAAGAATAGGAATGAGCACGACAGAATATGGCAGGTCACAAGTTTATTATCTCTTTATTTGGAAATTTCCATGGATAAACAGATAAGCAGAAAAGCACTGAGAAAAGCAATAATAAAAAGTTTGTGGCCGGGCGCGGTGGCTCAAGCCTGTAATCCCAGCACTTTGGGAGGCCGAGGCGGGTGGATCACGAGGTCAAGAGATCGAGACCATCCTGGTCAACATGGTGAAACCCCGTCTCTACTAAAAATACAAAAAATTAGCTGGGCATGGTGGTGCGTGCCTGTAATCCCAGCTACTCAGGAGGCTGAGGCAGGAGAATTGCCTGAACCCAGGAGGCGGAGGCTGCGGTGAGCCGAGATCACGCCATTGCACTCCAGCCTGGGTAACATGAGTGAAACTCCGTCTCAAAAAAAAAAAAAAAAAAAAAGTTTGTAAAACATTTATAAGAGTAACATGAAAAGGTGGCCAGGGATGTCCCCACCAACACAGAGGTGTATTGTAAATTAGCACATGAATGTTCACAGCAGAATTATTCATAATCCCAAACTGTAAACAACCAAAATGCCCTCCTATGGAAAAATGGATAGACAAATCCTGGCATATCCATACAATGGAATCTTATTTGGAAATTGAGAGGAATGAAGTACTCACTCATGCTACAACTTGTGTGAACCTTGGAAACACTATCCTGAGTTGAAGAAGCCAGGCACACAAAACCACAGATTGTATGATTTCATGTATATGAAATGTCTAGAACAGACAAATGTATATAAAGAAAAAGTAGGTTACTTGTTGATGGGGATTTGGGGTAAGAATGGGGATTAACTGTAAATGAGCAATAGGAGTCCAATTGGGGGATAAAAATGATCTAAGCTAAATTATAATGATTACTGCACTCAGCAAAGTTCCTAAAGATGACTGAATTGTACAATTGAAATCGGTGAATTCTATGATAGGTAAAGTCCACCTCAATAAAGTTGGAAAAAAATTATTAATCTACATGTCACTGAATTTAAAAAGACTGAGTCCTGAGTCCATATTGATAGAATATTTACTTTTGAATGAATACATAAGCAAACAGACAAACAGAGGATGCTCTTCTTTACAGTACAATGCCCACTAACAGGTATATCTACCCATAAAAAGTAATTTAATTTTATTATTTATTTATTTGAGATGGAGTTTTGCTCGTGTGGCCCAGGCTGGAGTGAATGTGCAATCTCAGCTCACTGCAACCTCCTCCTGCCGGGTTCAAGCAATTCTCATGCTTCAGCCACCCAAGTAGCTGGGACTACAGGCGCCCAACACCACATGAGGCTCATTTTTGTATCTTCAGTAGAGACAAGGGTTTTTGCCATGTTGGCCAGGCTGGTCTCGAACTCCTGGACAGTGATCCACCAGCCTCGGCCTCCCTAAATGCTGGGATTACAGGTGTAACCCACCATGCCCGGCCCTCTATACTATTTTGCAGCTTTTCTATAGACTTAAAATTATATAATTACTGTATTAAAGCTTTTAAAAATCAGGAAATAGTCACAGGAGTAACAATAATGATAAGAATAAGAATGAGCATGACAGAATATGGCAAGACACCAGTTTATTATCTCTTTATTTGGAAATTTCCATGGATAAACAGATAAGCAGAAAAACATTGAGAAAAGTATAGTAAAAAGTTTGTAAACCGTTTATAAGTAAATAAATATAAACATAGAACCACTAAAACAAAACGCATTAGAAATTTAACCATTACTGCCAGGTGCGGTGGCTCACGCCTGTAATCCTAGCACTTTGGGAGGCTGAGGCAGACAGATCACGAGGTCAGGGGATGGAGAACATCCTGGCTAACACAGTGAAACCCCGTCTCTACTAAAAATACAAAAATTAGCCAGGTATGGTGACACATGCCTGCAGTGCCAGGTACTTGGGAGGCTGAGGCAGGAGAATTGCTTGAACACAGGTAGTGGAAGCGGAGGTTGCAGTGAGCCAAGATCGTGCCACTGCACTGCAACATGGGTGACAGAGAGAGACTCCATCTCAGAAAAAAAAAAAGTAAAAAAGAAAAGAAAAGAAAAACAAATTAGCCATTACTACCTTTCCAACCTGAAATCATAGATAATTAAAATTTTCATATCTTCATATTTCTGTAATTTCTGAACGGTCCACAGTGATATGGTTCTATTAGAATGTGAAATATTTTTAATAAATGAAACAAAATAGTTGACAGTTTTTAAAAATTTCTGAATGGTCCACAGTGATATGGTTCTATTAGAATGTGAAATATTTTTAATAAATGAACCAAAATAGTTGACAGTTTTTAAAAACTCAGAAAACTCCAAGCGGATTAGCCTTGCTCTCAAGGTCCTTCAGTCAAGTTCTAACTTACTTTCTCCACCTGAGTCCAGCTAGTTCCTCTGCCTCAGTGAGAATATATCCAAGAGATGATCAACTCGGGCTCTGACCCTGAGTGCCCAGGTTCCAACCCCAGTTACATCTCTTACTACTTGAGTGACTATGGGCAAACAACTGGTACTCCCTGCGTCTCACACTCATCTTTAGAGTGGAAAAAAGCAGTACCTCTCCACAAAGCCACAGTGCGGCTTAAACGTATTTAATTGTACACAGCCCCTACAATTGAAGTTAGTAATTAAGGCTTAATTATTATAAATACACTTGCCCTATTACACATGCTACAAAAATACGGTCTCTGTAAAAGAAAAATGACAAGTCACACTCACTCAGGTGGAGCTTTGCCTTCAGGAACCAAGAAGTCACTCCATTCAGTCCTTTTTCAGGCTGGGGAAGGAGAGAGCTGTGTGTGAAATACCCTCACCCGGTCACTGTCCTCAAGAAAAGTTAAATATTCCCCTCCCTTCGTGGAAGTGGACACAACCCTCGCCTTCCTAAAACGAGGTCAGAAGGCGTCGGGGATCGTCCAGCGTCCTGCAGAGATCAGAGACAAGGGCTTGGGGCCCCTCCTGCTGGAGCTCTGACGCCATCCGGGGACCTGACAGGCTTCCTGGGAAATTAACAAGAGACCACCAGTCACCAAGTGACAGGGACTGATTGTGCTGTGTAACCTATTCCAGTTCCCAAAACGATTCTACAAGGATGGTCCTAAAGTCCCTGTTTTAAAGAACATCAAGGAGAGGCCCAGGGAGATTAAGTAACACCCCAACATTACACTGTAATGAAGTGGCCACGCGCCTGGAGTGCAGGGAGGAGGAGTGCGCGAGCTCAGAGCCCCCCGGAAATCCTGACACCAGGCGAGACGCGACCCGACCAAGTCCCAATGACCCCGCCCCCGCCCCGCCCCGGGACGCGAGGAGAGCCCCCAGCCCAAAAAGGCACCGCTGACAGAACAAAAGCCGCCGCCCTCGCCCCTCCAAACCTCTGCTCTCCAACGAGGAATCTTTTCCCATAACCGGACCGCCAGGTCCCGAGAAGCCCCAAGCTTAAGTCTCTGACATTAGAAAGGGTCCGCAAAACGCGGAACTGGATCAAACTACCACGGAATGCCCGACGGCAACCGCACCACCCACCGCCCCCCCAGCCCTCCCCCAGCGGAAGTGGCTGTGACTCCACTGATCGTCGGGACTACATTTCCCAGAATCCCCGGGACCCGCCTGCAAACGGACCACGACTCCTCTGAGTGTTTGGACTACACTCAGAATGCTGAGGGAAAAACATCCAGAATCTCAACGTTCAGGGGAAAGCGTTGATACTCTGCAGTGCTCCTTGACTACGCTTCCCGAAATGCCCATGGGGAAACGAATCCTATATCCCTGAGCGCCTAGTAGGGCATGTGGACTGTGACCCTGAAAGTCGTCCTTCGTCCTTCACCTTGAGTCCTTGAGTGAAAATACTGAACAGACAGGAATTCCTGAAGTCTAAACGCCTCCCAGGACTACAGGAATGTTATTGGAAAGAGAACAAATGAGGAGATACAATCTTGAAGAAATAAACAGGGAATGTAGGGGCCAGTAGATAATTGAAAGGCTAATGATTACTATAAACTGATAATATGAGGCTAAAACAAAGTTTAAAAAATGAGCAAAGTACAATGGTTTGGGAGAGGCAATGAAGAACAAAGAAGGTGCTGGCCCCTTCTCCAGAAGCTGTGATACCGCTGGTTTGGCCGGCAAAACAATCATCATTTTAGAGGACCAGTGGGGAAGCCCTGTACTCGAGGAAAAGCTATCTTCCTTCATTTACACTTTCATGGTATTCTGTATGCTGAAGAAGTAAAACACCAAATTTCAGAGAAGCTGGTAAATTGCCCAGTATTTCAAAGCAAGTGTAACTGGTGAAGCGTTTGGCATTGGTGTCAGACACCCAATGTCTATGATTTATGCAGTAGCAATGAGGAGGATCCTATACATGAGGGAACGTATTTGAGTTTCTTCCTTTATATTTTTTTGGTTAAAATGCTGTTATTATAGTTAGTAATTTGGAATCTGGCTTATGTTAGTTAATACGAATTAATAATAGAATAAAGCAAAATCAGAAAACAACCCATCTAGAATCCTTCTTGAAGATAACCAGACTTTTTTCTCCCCATAAACATATATTAGCCTACTGATATGGTTTAGATCTGTGTCCCACCCAAATCTCATGTTGAAATGTAATCCCCAATTTATCATCGGGGAGGTTTCTAATGGTTTAGCACCATTCCCTTAGTGCTGTTCTCCTGATGGAGTTCTTATGAGATCTGGTTGTTTAAAATTGTGTAGCACCTCCCTCTTTGCTCTTTTCCTCCTACTCTGGTCGTGTGAAGTGCTGGCTCCCTGATCCCTTTCCACCATGGTTATAAGTTTCCTGAGGCCTTCCCAGAAGCCGAGCTGATGCTGCCTTTCTTCCTCTGTAGCCTGCAGAACCCTGCATTAGCCAGTTAAACCTCTTTATAAATTATCCATACTCAGGTATTTCTTTATAGCAATGCAGAAATGGACTAATACACTTATCAATCTATATTTTTGTTTTTTAAAAAACTAAGTCTCACGTTCTATATTTATTTTATAAACTAAAAAAAAGACCTTTTCATAATTTTGTTTACGCATAAAAACAGGTTACTGTGCTAACCACCCAATGGCATACAGCTCCCTCTCTGAAAATTGACTGACATTTCTATACTAGTTACAGCTGTATTGTTGCTCTAGTATGCCCTTCAAATGATAACATTTATTGAGATGATCCATCTTGGCCAGGCACCTGTAATCCCAGTACTTTGGGGGCCAAGGCTGGTGGATTACTTGAGGCCACGAGTTTGAGACCAGCCTGACCAACACAGTGAAACGCTGTCTCTACTAAAAATGCAAAAAATTAGTTGGCATGGCATGGTGGTGCATGCCTGTAATCCCAGCTACTCAGGAGACTGAGGTACAAGAATCCCTTAAACCTGGGAGGCTGAGATCACACCACTGCACTTCAGCCTGGGTGACAGAATGAGCCACTGTCTCAGAAAAATAAAAATGGAAGGAAGAAAGGGAAGGAGGGAAGAAGGAAGGGAAATGCACTCCAGCGGGGGGACAGAGCGAGACTAAGTCTCAAAAAAAAAAAAAAAAAAAAAAAAAAGGAAGGAAAAAATGTAAATCAATCAATATTTTCTAAATAATTTTTTAAAAAATTTCTGGAGTTATATTTTTAACATTTTCATCTTCAGAGATTCCAACATTCAAGATTATGTCTTTCTGGATTATGATCAATTCCTGTCCTTAGTGCATGATCTCAGGATATACCAGATACTCGTTTTCATACATTGTTGGTGCTGCTAAACTTGAACAGTTGATTAAGGTGTTTCCAGAATTCTGTCTGCACTCTAAAATTATTTTCCCCTAAAAAGTTACTACTAAATAGTAGTAAAATTTTCACCAAATGGTGAAAAATTGAGATATTCTAACTCATTCTGTGTTTATTTCTTGGCATTGTACTCTACGAAAAAGCTTTCCATGTTTTTTTTATTTTTATGGATAGAGGGGTGGGAGGAGGAGTCGGGGATAGAGGGGTAGAGAATGGAGGGTAGGGAAGAGATGGGGTTAGAGGGGCGGGGATAGAGGAGTGGGGATAGAGGGATAGGGGATAGAGGGGTGGAGAGCATGTATATTATTTATATGTTTATGCCAGTGTGGACTTGTGAATTCTTATTATATTAATGAGTTCACATCTACTACTGTTATTATGTATTTTGATTCTCTGATTTTCTCAGGTTTTGCCAGTAAAATCCTCTTCAAGAAGTCTCCTCTTGCCTTTTGGCTCCTGTTCATCTATGAGCTCTTTGTGCAATGGTTTACTTTCTGATACTGTATGTTCCAAGTTCATTGGGTATTTTCCCTGCCCTAGCCATGAGATCAGATATTTCTCCTAGGACTTCTGGTTTCTATTTGTGGAAAATGTAGTTAGAAACAAAGAACTGAAAAATAACAAAATAACAGAAAAAAGAAAAAGAAACAAAGAACTGAGTGCTAGTTGTGATTGCTGCTACCTTGGTATTATTCTTGACCCCCTCAGCTGACAAAACTAGGAAATATTTACTTTTTTTTTTTTTTTTTTGAGACAGTTTCACTCTTGTCCAAGCTGGAGTGCAATGACGTGATCTTAGCTCACTGCAACCTTCACCTCCCAGATTCCAGCAATTCTCCTGCCTGAGCCTCCTAAGTAGCTGGGATTATAGGCATGCACGACCATGCCTAACTTTGTATTTTTAGTGCGACGGGGTTTCACCTGTTGGCCAGGCTCGTCCCAAACATCTGACCTCAAGTGATCTGCCCACCTCGGCCCGGCCTTTTTGTTGGTAGCATCAGAGTCTCACCATGTTGCTGAGGCTGGTCTCAAACTTCTAGACTCAAGCGATCCTCTCGCCTCAGGCTTTTTCCACTTTTTATACTGCTATTGATGTGTAGTTATTATGATCTAGATCTATGATAATTAGAAAATATATATATTTTTTTTGATTTTTTTAATCCACCTGGGTGCAAGTGGGAAAAGGGCGTTAGCCTGGAAAATATATTTTTATGGTGTCAAACTTTTACATTTAGTAAGACTTGTTTTGTGGCCTAATATATGGTCTTGAAGAATGTTTCATGGGCAATTGAGAAAATGTGTATTTTGTTGTTGGGTGGAGAGTTGTGTATATGTCTATTAGGTTGAACTGGTGTATAATGTTCTTCCTTATTTATCTTATTTATCTTTTGTCTGGGTGTCCTATGCATTTGAAAGTAAGGTAAGGCGTCTCTTACCATTATCGGAGAGCTGTATATTTCTCCATTTGATTCTGTCAGTATTTACATTTTATATTTCAGAACTCTGACGTTTGGTGCATATATATTTATAACTGTTTCATCTTCTTAGTGAAATAAACCTTTAGCAATATTTATTGCCCACTTAACAGTTTCTGACTTAAAATCTAATTTATCTGTTATTAGTATGATCACCTGTGCTATTATTTTTTACATGGAATACCCTTTTCCATCATTTGCCTTTCACCTATGCATGTTATTAGTTCTAATGTGCAAAGCATATAATTAGATACTGTCTTTTCAATCATTTTGCCAATCTACAACTTTTTATTGAGGAGTTTCATTTATTACACTTAATTATACATAGGTAAGAACTCCAATTTTAAATTTGTTTTTTATTTCCTTCATTACTATTGTCCTTTGTGTTGAGTTCTTTTCTTTTAGTGATACATTTTGAATCACTTCTTTTTTTTGAGATGGAGTCTCCCTCCATCATCAGATGTCTGGAGTGCAGTGGCACAATCTTGGCTTACTACAACCTGTGACTCCTTCGTTCAAGTGATTCTCCTGCCTCAGCCTCCCGAGCAGCTGTGACTACAGTCGTGAGCCACCACACCCAGCTAGTTTTTTCAGTTGTTTTTGTCTTTATGTATTTTTTGTAGAGATGGGGTTTCACCATGTTGGCCAGACTGGTCTCCAACTCCTAACCTCAAGTGATCCGCCTGCTTTGGCTTCCCAAAATGCTGGGATTGCAGGCATGAGCCACCGCATCTGGCCAGAGAAATCCACTGATAATATTACTGAGGATCTCTTGTACATGACAAGTCACTTTCATGTTGCTGCTTTCAAGATGTTCCTTTGTCTTTTTTATTATAATATATCTCAATGTGAGTCTCAAAGTAGGATAAACTCTTCAAGTGGTTTATCCTACTTGAAGTTCATTAAGATTCTTGGATTTGCAGATCCATGTGTTTCTCAAATTTGAGAAGTTTTTAGTGCTTTAGTTAAATAAGCTTTCCATCCCTTTTTCTCTTCATCTAGGACTCCTATAAAGCATACATTGGTTCAGCCTGGGTGACAGAGCAAGACTCTGTCTCAAAAAGACTGCAGGCCGTAGTTTTCTAATACTATGTGCACAAAAAGTTAATATAACAGGCCTGAGACTGCAAATTCTAGAAAGGACTGCTTACAAGACTGGCTTTTAGCTGGTGTTAGGAAACATGGGGTTTGAGAGGGTTGTCACCATTCCATAACTGGTAGGCATGGTTCAAGTTATTTTGAACACTTGCTCCCCTTCTTGGAGTCTAGAGTTTTGATCTGTACCAGAGGGATGGTACCTACTACTACTACTACATGATCAGTCCCAATAAGAACATTAGGTACGGGTTGGTAATAAACATCCATTGTAGACATTTCACAAGTACTATCACAATTCGGTACTGGAGGAATTGAGAGCTGTTACTCCATGTACAAAGGATCTTTACAAATTTATATCTGATTCCTTCCAGGTATTGTCTAAGAACCTTTTCCCTTTACTATTTGTATACTGTCACTATAATATAGTCATGAGTACAACTATATTCTGAGTCCTCTTAGCAAATCACAGAACCTGGAGAGATTGTCTTAGGGACTTCCAACCCACTATGCAAATTGAGACAGCATGGATCTTCATAAAGCACCTAGCATCCTGAAAAGATACAGTCTAGAACATTAAGTATAAAAATCAAATCTATCTCGAGTAGCCATTTTACTGAAGAATGCAATTTAACCTAATGTACTCAAAATACCACCTTGGTGGCTATGAATGGAATGGCACTCAAACTTGCTCTTTGTCCTAACTGGTTCCACACTGTTAGAGGCCCAACTGCTGTCATGCTATTTTTCCCTACCCATACACACCTTTTCTTAAAAGAATCTTTACTGATTTTTTACATCCACATGTATACCCCATTTTACTATCTCCAAGATTTTTCTACTCCTTGACTTACACTTAAAGCAAGCTCACATGCATTATGTATGAGGGCAGCTGAAGACACTCATCATTTTTTCTCTATATTCAAACTGGAGAATTGTTTCGAAAACCAATTTCCACAATCCTATTCCTTAATTTTGAGTCATGTCATATTATTATAGGATACTTGGTACATATCCAAAGAAAAGGAAATCAGTATGTTAAAGAGTTATCTCTACCTCCCATGTTTATTGTAGCACTACTCATGATAGCCAAGAAATAGGCCAAGATATGTAATCAACCTAAGTGTCCACTGGATGAATGAATAAAGAAAATGTGGCAAATATACACATCAGAGTACTATTTAGCCATGAAAAATGACAAAATTGTGTCACAACAAAGTGAATGAGCCTTACAGGGCATTATATTAAGTGATATATGCCAGGCACAGAAAGGTAAATACCACATGTTCTCATGCATATGTGGAAGCTCAAAAAGTTAATTTCATGGAAGTAGAGAGTAGAATAGTAGTTCTTAGAGGTGAGGAGGGAGGGTGGTAGCCAAAGGTTGGTTAATCAGTATAGAAATACAAGCAGGTAGGAGGTAAGTTCTAGTATTTCACACCACTGCAGGGTGACTGTAATTAACAACTTATTATTTTCAAATAGCTAGAATAGTGAATTTTAAGGGTTCCCAACACAATGATAAATGTTTGAGGTATGTTAATGACGCTAATTTGATCATTATACATTGTATATTTGTATTAACTATCACACTGTACCTCATAAACAAGTAGAATAATTATGTGTCATTTAAAAATAATGACAAAAGCATATCAAGATTCAAACGCCTCTTGTAGCGCTTCCCACAGTCCTCACATTTAGATGGTTTCTCTCCACTTTGGTCTCTTTGCTGGTCTTTAAGGCATGAACTGTGCACAATACTCTGCCCACAGTCCTCACACTGAAGTGGTTTTTCTCTACTGTGGAGTCTCTGATGGGTTAGATGAGTTGAGGCCCATCTGAAGCTCTTTCCACACTTCTCACATTTGTATGGTTTTTCCCCAGTGTGAACACTCTGATGGGAATGCAGCTGTGAATTCTCAGTAAATCTCTTCCCACAGTCTTCACATTTGAATGGCTTTTCATCATCGTGGAGTCTCTTATGATTCAAAATACTTGAGGCCTGGCTAAAGCTCTTCCCACATTCTTTACAATTATAAGGTCTCTCTCCCGTGTGGACTCTCTGGTGCATGTCAAGATTAAACTTACTGTTGTACCCCTTCCCACACTCCTCACATTTGTATGGCTTTACTCCTGTGTGGACTCTGCGATGAGAATAAAGTTGTGAATTCTGAGTAAATCTTTTCCCACACTCTTCACATTTGAATGGTTTTTCTCCACTATGGACTCTACGATGGGTATAAAGTTGTGAATTCTGAGTAAATCTTTTCCCACACTCTTCACATTTAAATGGTTTTTCTCCACTGTGGATTCTCTGATGATTCAAAAGACATGAGGCCCAGCCAAAGCTCTTCCCACATTCCTTGCAATTATAGGGTTTCTCTCCTCTGTGGACCCTCTGATGAAAGTCAAGATCCAATCTCCTTTTGTAGCCCTTCCCACACTCCTCACATCTATATGGCTTTTCTCCACTGTGGGCTCTCTGGTGAGAATAACGCTGTGAATTTGTATAAAATCCCTTCCCACATTCTTCACATTTGAATGGTGTCTCTCCACTGTGGACTCGCACATGTCTTGAAAGACCTGAGGCCCATCTGAAGCTCTTTCCACACTCTTTACAATTATATGGCTTCTCCCCTGTGTGGTCTATCTGATGCTTATAAAGATCTTGCCTATAAATGAAGCGTTTTCCACATTCCTCACATTTGTACCGTTTCTCTCCTGTGTGAATCATGTGATGACTATTAAGTGATGATTTCAAACCAAAGCTCTTACCACATGTATCACATCTGAATGGTTTCTCTCGCATGTGAACAATGGAATGCCTATTAAGATTTGCTCTACTACGGAAGCTCTTACAACATATATCACATTTGAATGGTTTCTCCCCAGTATGGATTCTTTGATGTTCCTGAAGCTGGGAATCATGAATGAAGGCCTTCCCACATTCCTCACAAATATGAGGTTTCTCTCCTGTGTGTAATTTACGATGAACATAAAGTCCTGATCTACGGCTGAAGCCTTTCCCACACTGCTCACATCTGAATGGTTTCTCTCCAGTATGAATTCTCTGATGAATTTGCAGATGTGAGCTCTGATTGAATTCCTTACCACACACATCACAATTAAAGAGTTTCTCCCCCATGTGAACTCTCTGATGGATATGAAGAGCTGAGCTATAACAGAAACTCTTTCCACATTCATCACATGTATGAGACTTCTCTCTTGACTCTAATCGTTGATGAAGATCAAGGATGGAGACATCACTAAGGGATTTTTTACGCTTCCCACCCTCAGAAGGTTTCTGTGCTTTGTGAATTATAGATAGTCTGGCATTAACCTGGCAGGGCATATCATCTTGTTTGGGGAACTGAGAGCTGTTTACCGTGGAGTCTTGAAACCTGGTTAAGTCACTTGAAATTTGTTCCCAGGTTTGATGGCTGAACAGCCCTTCATGTGTTCCTTGTTCTGGAACAGTTTCCATCTCAGTTTGGATCTTGCCTCCTATAACAACACATAATTAAGAGATATGGGTAAGTAAAGCCTTTATTCAGTGTTATCAAGATTTCACACTTAGGACATGGCCTGAAATTTTAATAAATACAGGGAATGTTCAGATAGTATTTTTTTTAAAGAGAGTGTCTCCCTCTGTCACCCAGGCTGGAGTACAGGGACATGATCATGACTCACTGTAGCATTGACCTCCTGTGCTTAAGTGATCCTCCCACCTCAGCCTCCTGAGTAGCTAGGACTACAGGCACATGCTACCATGACTAGCTAATTTTTACAGTTTTTGTAGAGATGGGGGTCTTGCTAAGTTGCCCAAGCTGGTCTTGAACTCTTGGCCACAAGTGATACTCCCATCTTGACCTCCCAAAGTGCTGGGATTATAGGCTTGAGCCACTGTGCCCAGCCAATGTATTTTCCAAATACACTATGGACTCTGGTTTGCATGAGACCAATTCAGAACCACACCAAGTGTCATATGTGAAATACTTGGTAGAAATAAAACCTTGCATGGTAAATTATGTAACTAATAAATTATATACACAGCGAAATATGAATCAAATGTGAACTTTAAGGAGAAGCTGTAACATCATCAAACCTTTGTATGTTTTAGTTTGCATCATATATCCTTATGAAATAAAGAAATTATCCTAACTCACAAAGAAGCCTGGGTGATGTCCTCAGCATCTGGGAGGCAATCTCTAGGTTCTTAAAATGTTATGCCTGAGGAGAGTATCTTTGTTTGCCTGAAGGTAGTAGGTCTAGTTGGTCACTCTAGACAGTGTAATAATATGATTTAGAATTATGGATGGCCCCACCTATGAGGAGGATGTGGTGCTCACTATGTGAGAAAGACCAACAATGTGATTTATGGTGAGGCTTTAGGTCACGTGGAATCAGTCAGTCAGGAGACTGAGACTACTTATATGGGAAAGCAATCAACCAATAATGGCTATGTAATTAATGGACAACAATCAGGAAAGCTTCCCTGATAGGCTTTCCTCCTGTCTAACCTCACATCTTAATTTTGGGGATATAATGCATCTTGTTTCCGTGGGGAGAGTACAATAAAAAGTTCTTGTTTGATACTTCCCTGGACTCTGTCTTATTTGATTTTTCTCCTAATTGTAATATGCATCTTTCCCCTCTAAAAATCCATAGCTTTAAGAATATGGAACATGGGCCGGGCGCGGTGGCTCAAGCCTGTAATCCCAGCACTTTGGGAGGCCGAGGCGGGTGGATCACGAGGTCAAGAGATCGAGACCATCCTGGTCAACATGGTGAAACCCCGTCTCTACTAAAAATACAAAAAATTAGCTGGGCATGGTGGCACGTGCCTGTAATCCCAGCTACTCAGGAGGCTGAGGCAGGAGAATTGCCTGAACCCAGGAGGTGGAGGTTGCGGTGAGCCGAGATCGCGCCATTGCACTCCAGCCTGGGTAACATGAGTGAAACTCCGTCTCAAAAAAAAAAAAAAAAAGAATATGGAACATGAAGGGAATTTGAGGAAACCACTGAATTTGTCATTGGCATGAAGTGACAGCAGCAGTCTTCTGTGAGCTGTCACTTTTAACTTTGTAGTTGGTTAAGCTCTTCACAATACTGAATATCAAACACCTAGGAGTATTTATGTCTACATATTCAGAGTATTCCTGCACAAGAATTTTTGCAGAACATGTATAGTTCATCTAATTTTGCTGGGCTGATATGAACAATATCTTGGTTATCTGAAATAGAAAAGGACCAGAAACCTTCAGTTTTTATGGGAATCTGAAAGACTGGACCCAACAGAAATACACAAAGGGAGATGCTCCTGATGAGACAATGAAAGTTGGTAAGATCACCTGGAATGAAAAGAACACCTAATGGGTCATGTCCTGGTTGGTTCCATGTGAAGTTATTGGACTGTCTCACTGAAAACAGATGGCAGAGCCGAATGCAGTGGCTCACACCTGTAATACTAGCACTTTGGGAGGCTGAGGCAGGCAGATCACCTGAGGTTGGGAGTTTGAGACCAGCCTGACTAACATGGAGAAACCCCATCCCTACTAAAAATACAAAATTAGCTGGGCATGGTGGCCTGTAATCCCAGCTACTCAGGAGGCTGAGGCAGGAGAATCGCTTGAATTCAGGAGGTGGAGGTTGTGGTGAACCAAGATCATGCCATTGCAATCCAGCCTAGGCAACAAGTGTGAGACTCCATCTCAAAAAAGAAAAAAGAAATAAAGAAAGAAAGATGGCAGAAAAAGATTCTGTAAAGAAATAGACCTCCATGTCCATTTTCTTTCTTTCTTTCTGCTTTTTTTTAGACAGAGTCCAGCTCTGTCACCCAGGCTGGAGTACAGTGGTGCGATCTTGACTCACTGCAACCTCCGCCTCCCTGGTTCAAGCGATTCTCACACCTCAGCCTCCCAAGTAGCTGGGACTACAGGTGTGTGCCACCATACCTGGTTAACTTTTTGTATTTTCAGTAGAGATGTGGTTTCACTGTGTTACCCAGGATGGTCTTGATCTACTGACTTCGTGATCCACCTGTCTCAGCCTCCCAAAGTGCTAGGATTACAGGCATGAGCCACTGCTCCTGGCCTAGACCCATTTTCAAAGTAAACGCTACAGACTTTTAGTGAACTTTAAAATAAATCCGAAACCTTCTAAAAAGCATTTTGAAAGACAAGAATAGAAATTATCACAACATTGTGACAAACAGGCAAGGTGGCATTATATGAAATGCCTGCTAAAGGTACTCGTACACATCTACATGCACAAATAATTTTCATCCTGGTTATGGTGAAAGATGTATTTCTTACTATGGCTTATGCTCATAAAATATGGAAAATCTTGGTCAAGATATTACCACACTCTGAATTAACTAAATCAATCAAATGGAAAGTTAATTTTCAATGGCTGAATCTTAGGAAACATTAGTAAGTTAGTATATACCTAGTGGTGCACATTAGTACATGGATATACTAATAAATAAATAAGCAAATCCCTGATAAATAAGAGATGTTTGAGAAGAAGAGGTAGTCTCTTTCAGGATGTTTATATTTTGAGAGGGCAGTTTCCTGATTCTTTCCAGGATATAAAGTTCACCAGTACAAAGTACAGCACTATGTCTCTATACAAAGAAAAGGAAAATTGTATGAAATCTATATTCTTTAACATGTTTAACAATTACATTTGTAAAAAATAAAGATGCAGAAATATATATCACATTACCAAACAAAGATGACTAGAAATATAGGCAACACTTGGGTGTGTGACTTATGTCACCCTTATCCTCATTCTTCCCCCTCTAGGAGAAGGACAGGGAAACCTGAGGTGGTGATGTGCAAGTAGAGACTGGAAGAAGTAAATAGGCTGCAGATGAGTAAATCTCTCAAAGGAAAGGTGGCTGGAAAGCTGGTTAGTATCTGAGACATCAGGAAATTGAAATTTTTTCCCCTTGTGTAGAAGAGCTGTTTCAGAAGTAGGCATCAGAACCCTCATTCGAAAAGGTTTTTTTCGGCCAGGCATGGTGGCTCATGTCTATAATCCCAACACTTTGGGAGGCTGAGGCAGACGGATAGCCTGAGGTCAGGAATTTGAGACCAACCTGGCCAACATGGTGAAACTCTGTCTCTACTAAACAAAAAAATTAGCTAGGCATGGCGGCACACACCTGTAATTCTAGCTACTCAGGAGGCTGAGGCAGGAGAATCACTTGAATCTGGGACACAGAGGCTGCAATGAGCCGAGATGGTGCCACTGCACTCTAGCCTGTGTGACAGAGCACGACTCTGTCTCAAAAGAAAAAGAAAAGAAAAGGTTTCTTTCCACAGATGAATATGCTCCCTACAAAAAGCTCCAAGACAAGATTATCATGGCAGACGAAAGGCAGGACTAGACTGCAGTACCAACTCAGATGGACAGAACAGCGTACAGAGGTTCCCCTTGTGAATTTGACCTCTAGATTGACTGCAAGAACAAACCAGCAATCCTGAGAGGTCACACAGACCCTCTGAAGGAAGCAGACTGTTCCTGCAGGACCCTGGAGACACCCCAAATACTGTGAATGTTCCAACTGTGGAAGTGAGAAAGAGCCTCTTGTCCTGAACACATAACTTCACCGGAGAAACTGAAGGTCTTTTTGTGGCAGAAGTTTCTGACCTTAGCTGGAGTTTAGTCAATTTAGAGAGCTGAACAAGATACAGGGGTAGATGAAGCAGGAGAAAGGCCTTGGGACCTCGTTGGTTGCCAAAGCAGGCCATTCTTGCCTGGCACCACAGGGATATATCAGGAGGGTGGCCAGAGGAGCAGGGCATGGGGAATTCCACAGGGAGAAAGAAGTATCCAGCTGAACTTTGTAATAACTGAATGGGGCAAGAAGCCTCCTGCCAGAATCCAGTATGCAGACTCCATAGGCAGGGGAAGAACTAAGCCCTTTTTTTTTTTACAGCTGGGAGGTGAGTAGCCTGGGGCAAGTTCTCAAGCCCAGCTTGCCCACTGCCTGGAAACAGACTCGAGGCTATTGGTGGGAGCATGGTGGGAGTCAGAGCAGCCCTTTGGTTTGCAAGGGAGCTGGGTGAGGCCTGTGACTGCCAGCTTTCCCCTACTTCCCTGACAACCTGCATGACTCAGCAGAAGCAGCCATAATCCTCCTAGGGACACAACTCCAGTGACCTGGGAACCTCACCTCCATCCCCAGCAGCAGCCGCAGCAAGACCCACCCAAGGAGAGTTTGAGCTCAGACATGCCTAGCCCTTCCCCAACCTAATGGTCCTTCCATATCCACCCTGGTAGCTGAAGACAAAGGGCATATAATCTTGGGAGTTCTAGGGCCTCACCCACTGCTGATGCTCTCCATACTACCATAGCTGATGCTCTCTGGAAAGTGACACCTTCTGGCAGGAAGCCAACCAGCAGAAAAATAAAGCATTAAACCACCAAAGCTAAGAAACCTCACCAAGTCCATTGCATACCACCCTCCTTACCTGGCCACCTCCACTGGAACAGGC